TTCCCAAGACCTGCATACAGTCTGTCTCCTTCACATTCTGATCAAACACAGCTGGAAGATATATTTCTTGATTTGCTCCAACGGCTAGGAGATTCAAATCTCCTTTCTCCAACAGTTAGAAACCATTAATGCTATAAAGATGCAGCTCTTCTTGTTCATTCAACACACTTCTTCAATACAACAATCTTAGAGCATTCAAGAGCAATCAAGAGCTTTTAATACACTCTATTTTCCATTTTCACATCTGAGTGAGTTTTAAATTACTTGTGAGCTTACACTTTCATACCCATCTTTTGAGAGAAAATATTTGTAATAGAGGACAGTTGTATCTTTTGTTATTATTCCTTATTTTCTAAGTGAAACACTTGTAAAGTGAGGCATTTAGTTGAGAGGTCCTCAACAGATTGAAGTAAGTCCTTGTAAAAATCCATAAGCTAGATGAAGCTTGGTGGTGCATCTATTCATAGTGAAGAAATTCTCAAGAAGGTGTCTTGAGGAGTGGACGTAGGCCGATGAGCCGAACCCCTATAAATCCTTGTGTCAAGCTCTTATTTCCTTTTCTTTCATTTTCTGTGCATTCATTTAGTGTCATCTGTTTGTAATCACTTAGTCTTTACAAATTTATTTTTGGATCAAATTTTTAACTAACTCAATTCATTCCCCCTCTTGGGTTGCCTTCCTAAATAACACCCAAATTGACAAATAATTTGGCAAGATAGTTCATTGGGGTTAGATTTTACTAATGGAGACCCATTTCCTTTTAGTGACTAGTTTAGGAAATGGAAAGAGAGGGTGCATGAGGACGAATTCATTAGACTCTCTATTGCCATTCTTTGGACCGTCCGGATGCAAAGGAACAATACAATTTTTCATGACTCAGAATTTACTATCCATCATTTATCGCCTTATCTCAGGACCTACTCAACAAACTATCTATCAATACTAACAGGCCCGGCCCCGAGATTTCCAAGGCCCAGGGCCAATAATCAACTACTGAATTTTTGAAGCCCTTCACATTTTTTTTTTCATTGAATGAAAAAAAAATGAAAAAAAAATGAAGATAAAAGACAAAAAATTTGTGTCAAAATCACAAAAACTACTTAGTATTACATTACAACAATTAATAAGTGTCGCTTGATCCTCGCTTTTCTTGCATTTTTAGAAGCAAATAAATCAATCATACTTGCATAATCTAATTTTTTTGCAAAATCATTTTCAGTGGATAACAATGCTAATTAGTTTAAATGGGTCTTTCAAATTTTTAATAGGTCAATTTATTTTAAATTAGTTTGGGTCTTCCTTAATTTTTTTTTGGATTTAAAATATACCTAATATATTACAATAAACTATAATAGAAGGACCCCTTTTTTGGGTCTATTTTCAATGGATAACAATGTTAATTTTTTTGAATGGGCCTTTCAATTTTTTAATAGATCAATTTATTTTAAGTTAGTTTGGGTCTTCTTTAATTTTTTTTTAACTTAAAATATACCTAATATTAGGAATGGCAACGGGGCGGGGCCGGAGATCACACTTCCCATCCCCCATCCCCGATGGTGAAATTTTTCCCGTCCCCGGTCCCGATCCCCGTCCCCGTCCCCGTCCCCGTCCCCTAACGGGGATCAGGTTTCCCCGACCCCGAAAGTTCCCCGATCCAAAAAAAAAAAATAATCCCTATTACAGGAGCAGATCATCAACATCATCCAACAATAGATCAACTCAACAGATCAACAATATCATACATCAACAATAGATGATCTATATTTACACAACAGATCTGAGAAGTATAACTCAAAAAGATAAATCAGAAAGATGGTATTGGCAGCGAACGGAAAGGCAACGAACGGAAAGGTAGCGGCAGAGATGGTGTCGCCGCGAAGAGAAAGGTGTCGACGTTGACGGAAGGAAAAGGCGTCGGAGTCCGGCAACGAAGGAAAAGGTGTCGCTATGATGTTCTTAAAGAGGGAGATCGGGGAGGTCGGCGAGATCGGAAAAGGGAGAGGACAGCGAATGAGCCCCCGTCGCTGCTGTCGTCGATGCCGTGAGAAACACCTATAGCAAAGAAAGAGAGAGAGGGAGGGGGGGAGAGGCTGAGAGGAGAGAAGAGAACTGAGAGTGAGTGAGTGAGTGAGTGGGAGAGAGAGGCTGACTTGACTTAACTCAACCCTAAACATATATATATATATATATATACACGGGGAATAATCAGGGGATTATCGGGGACGGGGACGGGGACGGGGACGGGCCGGGGGAAACCTATTCCCGTCCCCGACCCAAAAACCATCGGGGATTTAATTTTCAATACCATCCCTGGTCCTATGGGGATATTTTTTGGGAAAAACCTGTTCTTATTGGGGTCGGGAGATCGGGTTTCCATCGGGCCGGGTTAAAATTGACATCCCTACCTAATATATTATACTAAACCATAATAGAAAGGACCCATTTTTTTAGTCTATTTTGAAGGGCCCTAGGCCATGGCCTTGTTGGCCCATGCCCAGGGCCGGCATTGAGTACTGATATTAACTCCAACATTTAGGAACATGAATATGGTGGTTTTACTACACAAAATGATATTGTATTATTATAAACTAGCATATCACCCGTGCTATGCACGGATTGTGTTTACAATTATCTATATATGTGAATTGTGATTTTTAAATGTTTTCTTTTTCTTTTTTTAAATGTCTTCTTTTTTTCATTTTTTATATTATGTTAAAATTTAATATTTTGATAATAACCATATGTGTTGGACTTTTCAAGGAATTAAATGTCTTTTTTTTTATTATATTATATTAAAGTTTAATATTTTGATAATAATCATATGTGCTGGATTTTTCAAGAAATTTTTTTTATACTTGTTCTTAATGTATTAAAGTGTTATTATGAGGGATAATAATCAGATGTGTTGGGAATTTTCAAGGAATTTGTTGGATTTCAAAGAATTTTTTTATGCTTGTTCTTAATGCATTGAAGTGTTATTATGATGGTAAGACTTGGGAGTTTGGAGAAATTAATAAATGCTAAGATTTTTTTTTTTTAAATCAAAAAAGAGGGAGAGGACAGCGAATGAGCCCCCGTCGCTGCTGTCGTCGATGCCGTGAGAAACACCTGCAGCAAAGAAAGAGAGAGAGGGAGAGGGGGAGAGGCTAAGAGGAGAGAAGAGAAGTGAGAGTGAGTGAGTGAGTGGGAGAGAGAGGCTGCCTTGACTTAACTCAACCCTAAACATATATATATATATATATACGGGGAATTAGTCGGGGATTATTGGGGACGGGGCCGGGACGGGGGAAACCTATTCCCGTCCCCGACCCAAAAACCATCGGGGATTTAATTTTCAATACCATCCCCGGTCCTATGGGGATATTTTTCGGGAAAAACCCGTTCTTATTGGGGTCGGGGGATCGGGTTTCCATCGGGGCGGGTTAAAATTGACATCCCTACCTAATATATTATACTAAACCATAATAGAAAGAATCTCTATTTTTAGTCTATTTTGAAGGGCCCTAGGCCATGGTCTTGTTGGCCCATGCCCAGGGCCGGCATTGAGTACTGATATTAACTCCAACATTTAGGAACATGAATATGGTGGTTTTACTACACAAAATGATATTGTATTATTATAAATTTTGTTCCTAATAGTGTGGGTTTACAGGGATGCAAGTTTTTTTGTGGATGGTTGGTTGTGAACAGAAGATGGCAAGGCCGAATGGCTTGGATTTACTACAATGAATAACAGCAGTAGATAGCACAAAGATTTAAATGGCTGCATCTACCTTCACCATTCTTAGCAGAGCCTAATTTAAATAATACTAATACTTTACTACAAATAATAATAGAAGAAAATAATAAATTATTAAGTATAAAATAAACTTAACAAAAAATTTAAAGACAATCAATTAGAAATTATGAATGAAATTCGACGTATAATATTATATAAAAACAAATAAGTTACCATTATAGAAAATAAGTAAGAAAATACTACCCTCATTGTTGTCATAAAAGGAAATTCACCATAAAAATAAATGATTGGGGTCGGTATCGATGCTCGGGATCATGTAGGAGGGGTTTGCATCTTCATCAGAGAAGATTTTGTGTTGGACTGAGGCTGATGGGGCAGAGGCGTTTGCGCTCTCGTGGGCGATGGCTTTTGCAACGGATTTAGGATTGAGGGATGTCCTGTCCACCTTGAAGGCACTCTTACGATCATAAAGGCCCTTCAAACAGGTGAGTTTACTTTTTCTCCTTTGGCACACATACTGCTAGAGGCCTCTGAGAAGTGTGGTGTATTTTGGCGGCTTTGCATTACTCACACCAAATGACTAGGAATAAGGTGGCACACCGTTTGGTTAGGATGGTGGTTACATTGTTTGACTTAACTATTTAGTCTCCGTTTGAAAAGTGTGTTAGCTTTTGACCTTTTTAATTTTTTTGATTATTTTAGTTTGGATTAAAAAATTTAGTTTAGGAAAGATTTTTTTATTTTTTAATTTTTTTTTTTGAAAGAATAGTGTAATGATTATAGGTTGAATGTAATATTTTGTTTATTATAGCTAAATTAGTCTATTTTATCTTTTATGACTATTTTAATCACAAATCAACTTGCCAAACAAGTTCCACCAGCTTTGTGTTTTCTTATTTCTTCTGAGTCTTTGTTTTGAGTTTGATGTTACCCGTTCTAAAAAAGAAAAAAATTCAATACTTTATGAATTTAATAGATTTGATATACATAATTTCATAATTAAATAAATTTTAATTTATATACTTTAAGGAAGTAATAACTCAATCGATAATTGAGAGATTTACTTTATATATTTTAAAATTTTAATAGACTCAACCAATAATTTAGGATTAAGTCAACAATTAAGCATATTTCAAAAATAGAAAATGTAATAAATCCAAACAAAAAAATGTTTTTCAAAGGTCAAAACAACCTAGGTTGCATTTTTGAGAAATAATTTTGTAAATAGTGATTTGCCTCATAACCCCAAACCTTTGCATAAACCCCCACATCTCTCTCTCTCTCTCTCTCTCTCTATGTGCTTCGCAGTCACTTGACAATGGACCTCCTCACCATCTCTTCCAACTCTCTCTCATCACCCCCCTCCTTGTCTTCTCTCTAAAACCCCAACTCTCTCTTTCCGACCCTATACTTCACCATCTTCGAAATGCTCACTCGCTTCTCAACAAACACCCAATAATCCCAAAACCCAATTCGGTGATTCGCTAGGGTTCGAGCTCAAACAACTCAACCACTCTCTGCATTTGTGGGCTCCGCAGACTCCTGCGACGGCGATGAGAGGCGCCGCGTCCGATGCCATGGGGCTTTTGCTGAAGGAGAGGATCGTCTTATTGGGCAACCAAATCGATGATTTTGTTGCCGATGCTATCATCAGTCAGTTGCTTTTGTTGGATGCTCAAGACCCATCTAAAGATATCAGGCTTTTCATCAATTCGCCTGGTAGGTCTCTCAGGTATGTACATGTATATATATAATACACATTATTAGCTCTGCTTTGAACGATTCATTACATTTATTTTTTCTCCATGTTTTGAGCTTGAATTTTATGTAATTTAATGTTGTTGGTGTCTATATGTGTGAATACTTGCTAAATTTGAGAAAATTTTCAATATACATCTACAAATTCATGATACGGCTTATAAATGACTAAAAATTGATTGAGGGTCTGTTTGGATGAATGGATGGATTTCAATGAAGGGATTTATGTTGAATTTTATAAAAATATAGGAGATTATGATTATGATATTGTGGGTGTGTTGAGAAACTAGAGGGGAAGATAAATAGAGATAGAGTTTTAAGTGTTTTATTAGAATTCTTGTAGAACTAGAACCTTCAAATAAAGGATTTGAAATAATTACTTGTGCATTGTTATTTTAAATCCATGGCGACAAAGTTATCAAATTTAATCTTGAAATCCATTTATACACTATTAGATCTAAATTTAAGCTATATGAATAAGGGGGCTGGAAGAAGGGGGGTTGGGTGGTAGGCAATCACGAGGCTGGGTGTGTGCAGAGGAGGGAAGGGGCTGAGGGAGGATGTCTGAGGTAGAGTGGCAGCCGAAGCTGGGGGAGGCTGGTTGATGAGGCACTGGTGCTGGTTACCGGAGTTGGGGGTGGCGGCCGGGTAGAGTGGGAAAGGATTATTGTTAAGGTTTGGGAGGTTAGGGACGGAGGCAAACTCAGAATTCCATGATCAGATAAAATTGTAAATAAAAAAAAATTGAGTCAGGTCCAAACAAAAAATTGGGATGCTGGTAGCAGCACCCCAAATTTATTTGTAGAAATGAGAAGTTGTGATGGACTTAGTGGGTGTTTGGGAAGTGGGTTTTTTTGTAGATTTTTTTAGTTGTATGATATTATTAGAGAATTTTTTTTTTTGTATTTGGGAAGATAGTTGGGTTTTTTTGTGGTTGGATGTGATGTTTGTGAGAGAAAAAGTGAAATGATTATGGGATTCGATGTGATATTTTGTTTGGATTTGTTTTTTTTTGTTTTGTAACCAATTTGTCTTTTAGTGAAAAAAAACAAAAAAAAAAAAACCAAAAACCCAACTTCCCAAACAGCGCCTTAGGCCATCTCCAACGGTTTATCAAACCTTGCATCAAATTTGAAATTTGATGAAAAAATCACTTTTTGGAGCTCCAATGGTTTCCGCAAATTGATATCAAATTGAGAAAACATCAAAAGTTTCACCAAACTGGGGACGGCTTGCTCCTTTCACCAATTCACTGTGCATAGCCGTTAAAGCAGAAATTTGTGAAAATTTTACACTACGGTTGACTGGCTCATGCAAAAATTGGCCTGCGAACTGATTCAAATGGTTCAAATTACTAGTTCAAACGGTTCAAAAAAAATTTATAAAAAAAAAATTGGACTTACCGGTTGACTGGCCGATCAACCAACCGGTTGACCACTTTCCTTTTGATGCACGGTTGGAGCAAGCCATATCAAATTGAGAAATTGGCTTTTTTTTACAAAAATTTGGTTCACCGTTAGAAATGCTCTTAGTGTTACAAAGTAAATGAAGAATGACCATGCCAGTTGCAAGCCATTTGATGGGCTGTATATGTTTAATAGTTTAACTGATTGTCTTCTTCTTTGAAATTTTGTGCCATGCTAGATAAACTGAATTCGTGGTTGCACCACAGCTTTCTGTTCTCCTTTGTTAATTTGCGTTGCCTGTTTGATTATCAGTGCTACAATGGCTATCTATGATGTCGTAAAGCTTGTGAGGGCTGATGCTTCCACAGTTGCACTGGGCATTTCAGCATCAACAGCTTCCATAATCCTTGGTGGTGGCACCAAAGGCAAGCGCCTTGCAATGCCCAACACACAGATAATGATACATCAACCTCTTGGAGGTGCAAGTGGACAAGCGATAGATGTTGAAATCCAAGCCCGGGAAATCATGCATAACAAGGATAATGTCACAAAAATAATATCAACTTGCACTGGTCGCCCATTTGAGCAAGTGCAGAAAGACATTGATAGGGATCGCTACATGTCTCCTATTGAAGCAGTTGAATATGGAATAATTGATGGTGTTATTGATAGAGATAGTATTATTCCACTTATCCCGTGCCAGAAAGGGTGAAATCTACACTCAATTATGAGGAAATCAGCAAAGACCCGAGGAAATTTTTGACTCCTGATATCCCCGATGATGAGATATATTAGACAGAAACTATTAATACAGGTATGTCATTTTTAGAATTATTTATGCTCTGAGTGCCCAGTGTTTGGTGTATAATCTACTAAGTTAAAATCCAGAATTTGGAAATTAGAGCAGGAAAGCCATTTTTTGTTCAAATGCAATGGTAATAATTGTAATTGTAAATATCAAAATGAGCTTATGGGGTTGTTTGGGTTACATGCATTGTTGCCTTGCGTCGCATTTGACTTGGAATTTGGTCAGATTGATTTTGCAATTACTAACATAATTGTGAATCAAAACTAGTCATACCCAAGAAAGAGGAAAAGGAAATGAGAAAAGGGTCAATCATTGCTGATAAATAACTTGCAACCTGACTTCAAGTCCATGATTTCGTTGAGTGGCAAGGGGGAAAAAGTCGAGGGCTACATTAAGAGTTTGTAACTTTTGAAACTCTTTGGAAAGAAATGTTAACTGAAAACCAAAACACGCAATGATATCATATTTGCCAACGCCACTGGAAATATGATTAAACTTGCTTTCAACAAAGGCCTAAAAATAGTGTAATTTTTTTTAAGATAGCTTGAAATTTTTATTTTTGTTCTCATTCATCAGCTGCCCGTGGGAAAACCTAAAATTTTAACTCAATTTGGCAAAAAAACACTGTATGGAAACTTGAAGGTTTAAGAATTTTCTTTTCTAAGCACGGAATTATTGTACAGCTCCAATTAAGCTCAACAGGAGACCAAAAAAACTGTTCGATGCTCTTCCTGCATTTGCTTGTTACCGGGGTGGGGGGGTCAAAGAAAAGAAAAAGGAGAAAACAAATAAATACTGCCCATTCAGATTCAAATTGATGAACAAAGTACATTGTGTTTGTTAAAGTCCTCTTGTATGAGCATTGTCATGTATTATAATGTTAAATTTTAGTAATGTGTATGCTTGTCATGGAAAATTCTTGATGTTTTCTTCTTTCTTCAGTGTTGCGAGTGATGTGCATGATGATTAAGGAAACTTCAAATTAACAGTTTTTTTTTTCTTTTCTTTTTCCTTCCTCCTTCAAATTTTCTTTATCAGGCTTGAGTCCAGGCTTGGCATCAGCAGATTGTTCATCTTTTTTCATCCCATGTCCCAGCAGGTATTGGGGGTTCCATTGCGACTGGGCTGGCCCTGAACCAAACTATAGCGGAGTCACGGTTGAGATGTTTTATGATTCTCTTGTTTCCATTTATGAAAAAAGATTGTTTGAAAGATTTTGATCTCTCTCAATATTGCTATGTGAGGCATTTGGATGTATCAGATTGCAAATCCTGGAATGATGGTTTGACAGGAAATTATAGTGATGAAATTATATAGCACGTGTTGTTAAATAAAATTCATTACTGAGCCTATTTTTATTTTACAAATTTGGACAGCAATGCTATTTAGTCCAAAAATCAGAGGTATTTCGCTGACCCACCTAGCCCAGCCCTATTTTTCCAAAGGCTTGGGAGGGGTATTTCAGCTCTTAGGAATGAGTTGGGTTAATATTTTAAGGTCGTTTAGTAAGGGGTTGTTTGGCAAGAAGGTTTGGGTGGGTTAGGGGTTAACATAGTCACAAAAAACAAAATAGACTATTTTAGTCATAAAAAACAAAATATCAAATCTAACCCATAATCATTACAATCCTCTCTCACAAAAAAGTCAAAAAGTCCTTCCCAAACCAAGCTAAAATAGCCCAGGCTAAAATAGCCAAAAAGTCAAAAAGCCAACCCACTTTCTAAACGGAGGCTAAATGGGTTACAAAATACATAAATATTAAGTTTTATAATAATAGGATTACTAATCAATAATAAATAATAAAAACTTGGTTAGAAGCCAAAGGTTGAAATTCTATCATACCATTAAAAATTGGAAATCACAATCCAATAATGATAATAATATAGGCAACCAATCAGATCACATAAATTAACTAACATAACACAATCTATTAAATTTAATAATCACATTGCAATTCAATTTTAGAAAACAACGTGCGTGGGACCACTTTAAAAAAAAAATTATTTTCCAACAATAATAATTTAAATATTTATTTATGTAATATATTAAAATTCATCTAGTTAAGTATAATTAAGGACCGTATAACGGGACTCTAATTACTACAGTTAAGTCTACATGTAATGAAGTTAATTTTTGTTTAAAAGCAAAATTAGAACTATACAAGTATGGAGTCCCCGTCCCTGTCATTCCATTTACTAATTCTTCCTTTGGTGAGAAATGACAAAATAAAATAAAATTCTTTCTTATGTTTAGTTTATAAACTATGTGAAAAATAATAAGAAAGAACTTTCTATTTTGCCCCATTCATTTCTCACCAAAAGTAGTGAAATTTGGTAAGAAACAAACTAGTTGGTTATATTTACAATACCGAGAATGCTCTTTAAATTACAAATGAAGAAAAAGAAATCACACTCATATCTCTCTCGCATTTGCTTTACTTTTTTACCTATCAAAACATCATAGTAACAATACCCAATCAAACATGAGCGGGGAGGGAATGAAATCTTGAATTCAAACATCACATTTTTTGTATTTTTCCTCCTTTTTGCCCCAAAATTTTGAAAATTGCTGCCATTTTTCAACAACAAAAGCATTTATTCTCGTTTCAACTTTCAAGTTAAAAGCAGAAAATAGAAAACAAAAATGTTACTCAATAAGTTTAAAATAGGCACTACAAATGTCGAAAAGACAATTTTACTTTCAAGACAATATTTATAATCCTCTCCTAAATTCAAGAGTTCTCATTTTGGGAAGAACAAGAAAAGAAAAATATTTTCTCATTTTGGGAAAGACGCTGTGGTTTGAACCCAAACACATGAGCAAGGTACAACCACCACTACCACTAGGGCAACCCTTGTGCTTCAGATCCAAGAATTGGTAATACATACCTATCATAGCAGGTATGACTCAACAACAGTCCGGCCAAACTTCTCTTGTACATCTTTGGGAGTTTCAATCTGAAACAAGTAAAACAAAAGCAGTACACCAGAAAGATAATTAAGAAAAATGAACATAAGAACAAACAAAAAACAAAAAAGGCTTTAATTTATGAGCAAAACATCTTACCGCATTTAACGCCTTAAAAACAGCCTTAACCGTGTTATGAGGATTCCTCGATCCAACAACCTAGAAGAGATTTGATGTAAAAATTACAGCCCAGATTATTAGGAATTTTTCTAACAAAATTTCAATTTAGCAGATTATTATTACCTTAGACTTCACATTTTTAAAACCAGCTAAATGTAGAATAGTTTGGACCGTTCTGCCTGCTTTCATCCCCGTCGTAGTTGGAGCAGGCCAAAGATACAGCTGAAATGCACAAGTCCAAGCAAAATCATATGCACAGAGAGAACAGTTATGCACATGTAAATAAACAAAATTAGAAGAAACTAATAGAATGGTTAGGAACCTTGGTTTTCTTGTATGAAGTTTGAACTGCATGTGCAATTGTATGCTCTTCGTGTCGTTCCACATAATGAAGGTTCTGAAAACATTTCTCATATGCCTGGTTGAATAAAATCCATCAGTTAAATGGAATACAAAACATGACACACAACATATACTGATGGATAAATAGTGTCCATACGTGCGGCCTTGAGAAATGACTTTCAAGCAAAAGAATCCACAAGATACCTTCTGAAGGGCAACAGGAACAGCTGGACCTTTTGCTTTTGCAAAACCAACTACACCTTGGTAGTTCCCACAAGCCAACATAGCAGTGTACTTGACCACTTGTCCTCCCTACCGCATAGCAGATGTAAACAAAAGTTATAAAGCAGTTCATATAAAAGATTAAAAGAAAAAAAAATGCAAAAAGAGGCAGCAATACCTTAGTAACTTTACAAGTTCGGTTAACATCAATTAGTTTCACATCAAAACCCTGCGCCATTGTTTAAAGACAATGTGAATTAAAATATAAATTTGATGGAAAAATGCAAAAGCATCTGCATACACAAAACAACAATTAAACAAAAACGATGGGCACACCAGAACAAGGGCAATGAAAATGCACGACCACAGATTGTTGCTGAAATAAAGATGATGTGTAGTTCCATTAGTAGTAGCACCAGAAAAAACTTTCAGTGGGTCCAAGACTTTTGCCAAAGTTGCTAGGTAAGTTACCATATAATACATACATATATAAATAACATTAACATTGAAAACAAATATCACAGGTTATGCATCACAACATGCGCAATTGCCAAATAAATTACAGCTTTGAAACAATCTACAACAAAATCACAGGAGATATAGCACTATGAAAGATAGACATCTGCATCAAAGATGGAAATATATCATATGCTTACCCAAAAAAAATAAAATATGGAAATAGGTTATTGATATTAAACCTAGATTTGTTGATATATTATTTAAAGTTTACTACTCCCACACACTTCTGCCTACCCAAAATATATATATATATATACATATATTTTTACTCCCACCCCCACCTACTTATGGCTTCATAATTCACAATACAAGACAGATTCCACAACTCCATCTCCTTCCTTGATACAAAATTTTTCCCCTTCTTTTTCTCCAACACACCCACCCACATCTGTGATCTCCACCTTCTCTCAATATTTCCAAACACCCTCATCACATCCTCATACCCCTCACAAGAAACATGAATATATCTACTTCTTCATCACCCACTTAGGACCTTCTTTCCATTTGTCCTATTCTATCCACGCCATTAACACAAAATCTAGAAACTACCAAGGATAAGCATTCAACTGCAATCAGCTCACCCACCCCTTGTCACACTGCATCCCGTTTGGCATACTCCCCTACACCTGGCCAAGCCTCTACTCCCACATAAGCTCCTCTAGTGGCAATTGAGGTTTTGTCTGATCAATGGTCCATCTATTAGCCAACCTAGACAACCTAATCTCCTCCCAAAGGCATTGTATTTTTATATGACGATGGCCTACGTGGATGTTCCTCCTTTTCCTTCTTTTCCAAGCATACACCTTGGGAGTTTAGTTCCCATACCCAATGAAATATTTTAAGCAACATTTCTTTTATTTATTTATTTATTTATGAAAGTAAAAAGTTAAAGTACTTAATGGGTTATCAAACAACTGACAAATTAAAATGAGGGACTTAAAACATTATTTTTACCATGAAGAACCTTTGGTTAGATGTGCATTGGAGCAAATCCCACAAAGAACATCAGCAACAATGGTGAAAGGAAAGAACGTATATTTAAAAGCTGCAACTCATCCCTCACAATCATTCAATATGTCTAAATTGGAAAATCCTAGAACCATAAGAATCAATTAACGCAAGCAAGGGAAATTATTAAATGAAAATAATAATTTATTTTACTTATCAAAGAAGTTATGAAAAAAAAAAAAAATTCGTCAACATTCCATGTTATACTATTTTTCAAATTAAATGGCCAATCAAGTTTGATCAGTATTTGTAGGAGGAGGAAAGATAAAGGATAGAAAGATAACAAAAAAGGCATTATAAGAAAGACAAAATTTCAATAATTTCAGGTTAGTTCACCAGAGGATAAAGACATAAAAGGCACACATGCTAAATCAAGAAAAGAATGCAAACACGGAAGGATGATACATATACTTACTTTCCTGTAAAGAGGTCTTCTCTTCTTCTCTGTCAATGAGTTCCTCTCCTCAGCTAGATCTCTAATCTCCTCTTCCAAAACCTTTCCCTTCTTTCCAAATGTATGATCCAACTCCGCTAGCTTCTCTTCAAGTTTCTTGTCAATAGCATTCAGCTTCTCTAACAGTATATCATCCCTCTCTTTCATGTCATCAAACTCCTCATCATCATCTTCATCCAATCCCCCTTGTATCATTTGTTTTTCCTTTTCAAATCCAGCATTTTCCAAAAGATCAGCAGAGGCTCCCATTTGTTCATGATGAACGACCCCATAATTGGCGGGATTGTTCGGATCATAAGCTTCCTTCCACTCTACTAACCTTATGGCCCTATTTAGTTTTTGTTGGAGAAGAAATCTATCCTTGCCAGTGGATTCTTTCATGCGGTTCATCAACTCGCCAATGACTCGATACTCTGGGCGTAGCTGTAAATGTTTTTGCTCAAACTTGTCAATTTTGTTCATCCATTTGAAAGCATCATCCAGCGTCTCTGCCAAAAATTGTAGATACAACAAATTCATTAAGAAAATGGACTACATGGAAACAACTAATAATAATCAGATATCAAATTCTACTTACACATGTTGCGCTAGTTTTTCACGAAATCAAAAAGCAGAAAGTGGAAGAAACTTTCAGCTTTTCAAAAGTTCCAAAAGCTTCTCGTCTCATAATAAAAGAGGAGAAATTTTTTTGGGTTCATATACACCCACATTCTAGGGTTTACTTGATTGGACAAAAAAGGTTTGGTGTGGTGCACACAGGCCACCTATATACTCCTATAAATACCCAGCCTTATGCTCAGTTTTCAACAACGAAAAAACACTCCCATATACTGTACTGAAGCTCTATGCTCTCTCTCTAAAATTCCCTCACTCTCTCCTCTGTTCCTTTACTATATTTTGGACAATTTTAGTTCGTGATTTCGTTCTTATCCTCTTGTTGGGATAAAAACACTCCCAATATGTTGTGAGCATATTGGGTTGAATCTTGGAGCTAGTTGTAGGAGCTAACAATCTAAAGCCACTGAGCATAAAAATTAAACAAAATCAGTGTTAGCTAAAGGAAAACCTATTTCAAAATAAAGACAAACCCAAGGGTTTAGGGAGAAGAGTCGAGCCTTGCTTTGTTTGTGGAAGAACTAATAATGTTGCCAAAGATTGCTACTTTTTTTATCAGCAACAACAAAATTTTATTAAGACATGAAGCCAGAAAGAGGCGAGGATGAAATTTCCTCTACAAAGAAGAAATAAAATAAATAAGACAAAACAGTGAAAGAAGACGAAAATCCAAAAAAAAAAAAACCAACCACCAAGACAAGATAACACTATGTGGGTGTTTGGGAAGTGGCTATTTTTTAGGCTTTTTGGCTATTTTAGTAGGCTATTTTAGTTTTTGTGTTTGGAAAGATGGAATGAATTTTTATTTGAATTGTTGCATTGAAAAATGTGTTTGAAATGATATTTGAGGTTGAAATAACAAATTTGTCCCTAATCCCACTTTTTTCAAAATTGATGTAAAGGGGCATAAGTGTAATTTATTATCAGTGGGACAGCCGGAATGGTGACAGTGGTAGGCTGCAGTGCAGTGCCATTGAATGTAGGCTGCCAAGCTACATTTTTTTTTTTTTAAATATAAATCAATGGTTCAGCTACTGTTCAAGGCTAAAAGGATTTTTTCAAACTTGAGGCTAAAATAGCCTACCCCAGGCCTTCCCAAACACTGCCTATATATCACAAATTGACACCCAATCTGCTGCAATCAAAAAAGAGGAATCCCTCTAAACAGAGGATTGCTACTTCAAGAAGACTAAGCCAACACGAAATTGAAGAAATCCAAGGGCCCAAGTGAATGTGCTAGAGGAGAATCAAGATAAACCATCATTAAGGTATAGTTCACCTTTATAGAATTTTACTTATCAAAATAAGAGTTGATAGAAAGACTCGAGAACTAATATATATGTTTGGTTTGATCGTAAACTTTTTAAAACTTATCAAGAATCAACTAGAGAAAGTATAGCCTTAGAAAATAATTGAACCCCATGAGTGAATGAAATTGGAAATGTAGAAATAAAGATGACAATGATCCGTAAGAGGAGTGTGCCATGTTCCTAAAGTTAGGTGGAATCTAGTCTAGCACAACAAGGTTATAAGGTTGTCTTGGAGTCCAATTGAGTTTTACTAACCAAGAATTATATTTTTAGTGGGAAATGATGTCTTTTATGGTTTATTTAAATTGGATATTACTTTGGAATTTAATAAGATTTCTTCTCCAATTTTGAATGTTCAATCTTGTAATGTAAGGCATGGAAGATTAGGTCATATCAATCTATAGAAAATAAAAAAGATGATGGATTTTGATCTTCTTAATAAGTGTCAAGTGGATTTTTACGCATAAACGTGAGATTTATGTTCAAGCCAAAAATACACTAGAAAAGCTAACAATAGTGTGGATACGGATACCCAACTTTTAGAGTTAATCCATAGTGATGTATGTGACTCAACTAGGCCACCTACTAACGCTGAAAATTAATACTTTGTAAAGTTTATTGATGATTGTTTGAGGTATTGTTATGTGACTAATCCCTTTATTGTTAAAATGAAAGATGAGGTGTTTAACAAGTTTAAGGTGCACAACATCAAGGTAAAAATCAATTAGAGAATAAGAAGAAAATTCTTAGTTCTGATAGAGGAGAGTATACCCTTACTGATCTTACATCTTATTGTGAAGAGGATGGGATAATAAATATGGTAATACCACCCCATTTGCCCCAATCTAATGAAGTCACCAGAAGAAAGAATAGAATCTAATGCAATGTTGTCCAATTCTAGTTTACCTAAGAATTTGTGGGGGGAAGCAATTGCTTTTGTCCTATATAGAGTAATTAAGAAGAGAAATAATAAGGCCCCTTATGAAATTCGGAAGAAGTGAGCTCATAATCTTAGTATCTTGAGAGTGTGGGGTTGTGGGGGTGTTTAGCTAAGGTGTACAAGAACCTAAGAGGAAAAAAACATGGTCCAAGATTTGTAGACACTATTTCCTTAGAATCTACCCAAAATAATAGTGCCAATAGATTTCGTGTTTCTCTTGAAATCTCTACAGATGCACTTCTTTTAAAAGGAGACTGTAAATAGCGAGAGAGAATCAATTATGCAAATCAATACTTGAGAGATAGTAGGTTTGCCACATAGGTATAAGGCTATTGGATGTAAGTGGATTTTCAAGAAGAAGTTAAATTATGATGGAAGTATTGTTAAGTACAAGGTCAACTTGGTGGCTAAAGGATTTACTCAAAAGAAAGGGATTCATTATGTTGATACATATTCATATGTGTCTACCATTGTCACCATTAAGACCCTAATAGCCTTAACATCAATTTGTAATCTTGTAATACATCAAATGAATGTAAAGATTGCATTCTCGAACATTAGTAACGGAGATGATGAGATCTATATAGAACAACTTGAGGCTTTTGTGGTAAATGGTCAATAACACAAGGTTTATAGGATAGTAAAATCCTTATATGGTCTTAAGCAAGACCCTAGACAATGATACATTAAATTTGATAATGTGATCTTAGAATATGGTTTTCGTGATAATTGTTTATACTGTACACAATACTAAAGCTCTGTGTTCACTCCCCCTCTCTCTCTCTCCATTCCGAAGTTCCCTCACTCTCTTGGAAAAGTGACTTTTAAGACTGTGATCACATGCCTCAATTTCTCACAATCACAGGCCAGTTTCTCATTACCATTGTTTATTCCAATCACATTTCTTTATATATTGTTACCCATTTTATGATTCCGTATTTCACGCTTTTCCCAGTTGTTCATCATTGTTTACCTGTACTAACTACTAGTTATTTGTGCTGTAAGTGCAAACAGAAACTACCATAAACTGAAAATTCACAAAAAAATTGAACTGTTGGGGGTACATACCTGCCTCAGTGAAGTTCTTGAGAAGCTCTTCGTGTCTCTTAAACTTTTTCTCAAACACTTGGGCTCGTTTCTTGATATCCTCAGGACTGAACCTCTCATCGTCTTCACTCTCCGAATCAGTAGGCTCTTCGTACATATTGAGTTGATCAGCCCCAGAATTCTTCAGCTTCTCCTTCTCAAGCTTCTCGATCAACGGTCCCACACCCATGTAATCCTCTTCGTCCTCGGCATCAATGTCTGCAGCGTCTAAGCCGATCCTTTTCTTCTCTTCTCTTTCCTTGTGCTTTGACCTCTCCACATCGGCGAGAAGCTCTTGGATCGTTCTGGCGGAGGAAAAGGACCGATTTTCCGCCGGAAAACGAAATCTGCGGCGGAGTTGTGTGGGGGGAAAGATTTGGGGAAAGAGTGGTGGGGTGGTGATGTGTTGGTGGAGATTGGGGATTCTCCTGGGAGAGTCGATCGTAGTTGGTTGAGAATGACACGAGACCATGCTATTGATGAATGCGATTTTCTCATCAACATCATTGTGATGATGATGACAATGGTAGTTATTGATTTTGATTTTGAGTTTGAGTTTGAGTTTGATTCATCGAATAATGGAAATGGAAATGCCCTCTGGAACTGAAGGAGAGTGAAGGGTTCGGAACTCGTAAGGGTGCCACCCAACAACGCAGGTGGACGGAGGGTTTAGGGTTTGGGTTTATGAACCAACCAAACACGGTCTTACTAGGGAAACATTTTTAACGTAAAATATTTTCTATGGAAAAAAAAAATTCTTAACTCATACTCTCTATCATATTTTTTCAAACCTAATTCATACTCAACTCATATTTCAGAAAAATTCAAAAAATACATTTATTTAGATCATTTCAAACCGCTCCTAAAATTGGGTGTGATTTAAATTATTCAACATTGTGGATTGCGAATGGATTGTGGGTTTCACCTGTACCCGTTTGTATCCGTCTATACTAAACATTTTTTTAAAAAAAAAACTTGGGATTTGCTTTAATCGTTGATGTTGGTGCAAATTTAATTCCTAGACAGAATATCCAATTTGACAAAAATGAGCTCAACATCTTAGATGAGAAGAGATCTATATTTTTAATGAGAAATGATAAACCTCTCTAATTTAGAAGTTTTAAAAGAGCACTAATGATGTGAAAAATTTTTAAAAAAAAACAAAACAAAACAAATAAATCGAGGCCAAAACATCACATCACATGAGACTCACACACCAATTAAAACTATTAGAGTTCTTAATTTAGAACTCTCAATTATTAGTGTTTTTTTATTTTATTATTGATGCTGGTGTAAATGAACATTTCTTTATAATATTTTTTCTTGTCTTTTTCTTTTTTATTATTGTTTAATACTATTCTATTTACCTTCTAAATACAAAAAAACACAATTATATATAGTAGTATTAGGGAAAGTCCTCTCTGTTTGTATATATGTTTATATAATTTCATTTCGCTTATTTTTTTGATTGCCTAAGGGTCCGTTTGGAAAGATGATTTGTGATTAAAATAGTCACAAAAGACAAACTAGGCTATTTTAGCCACAACAAACAAAACATCATATTCAACCCATAATCATTACACTCTTCTCTCACAAAAAAAGTCAAAAAGTAAAAAAGCTCTTCCCAAACCAAACTTTTTAACCCAGACTAAAATAGTCAAAAAAATCAAAAAGGTAAAAAGTCAACCCACTTCCCAAACCAACCCTTAGAGAAATTGAAGATCCATATATACATACATAATATATACTCATAATTGTTGTATTTTTAATTTTATAAATTTTAATTCATTAATTATTGATGTTCTAAAGTAATGGAGAAAAACATATCCAAGTTTTGCCTTTTAAAGAAAAAAGTTCAAGCCGCAAATTGACTGTAATCGCTCACTTATCTGCGAACCTTATCTGCATAAACCGCAACGCGCACTGCGAGAGGTTGTAGATTCAAATTTTCCTAAACCGCTGACATGCAGGCAAATACAAACTGTAAACCGAACCCTCCAAAGCCAATCCGCGACCACCCTTACCGTGGTGAGATGATGGGATTTAGAGTAACGATGATAATATGATGACATTAATAAGATTTTAATTCGTAAATTTTTTTTTACCTTTTAAAAGTAGTAAATATTTTGTGTTTAAATGAATTTATTTGTTATTGACCAAGAAAAATATTCTATTTTAATTTTTATTGTTTATTATACTAAACATTAAAAATACCCACAAAAAAAAAAATAACCAAACAAAGCCTTACTAAGACCCACTTCAAAAGGTTTCCAAGTTTAGTTTTGTGAGTGCTTAGACATGAAAAATATTCTCTTTTAATTTTTATTGTTTATTGGAAGCTTTTTTGATAAATCTTTTTTCTAAGAGCTTTATTCCATCCAATTCATATTCTTTTTTACTATTTCATTAGGTCTTATTTGAGGTAAGAAGACCAAAATACCATTTTCATCTACTTATGTTCCATTTAGTCCACATTATTTTTTTATGTTTCAATAAGTCCTATGGGTGACATAATTACCAAAATATCCCTAATGTGAATGTTCACATCCTATGAGTGACATAATTACCAAAATACCCCTAATGTGAATGTTCACATCGTCAATGTGAATGTTCACACTGTCAATGTAAATGTTCACATCGTCAATGTGAATTTTCATATCATCAATGTGTAGGGGCTCGGCCCAACCCGGGCCGGGGTTAACCCATGTAAAGCCTCGTGGGTGCTTGCCAAAATTTGGGCCGGGCCAGACCGGCCCACGAGCCAAAAAATTAGGCCTAGGTCCTAGCCCTGGCAATAAGGTATTCAGGCTTTGGGTGCCCCGGTGGGTCGAGCCAAGGGGCTTGGCCCTAAACTTAGGCTTGGGTCGGGCTTGGGTGAGCCTCGCCATTTTTTTTAATTCTTTTTAACTTTTTCTCCAAAAATTTTATTATTTTCCACAAAAAAAACACTGGGCGTCTGGCGGGCCGGGCCTCGGGCCGAGCCTTAAATGGGCCTTATGCGGGCCGAGTTTCAAAGTGATGGCCGAGGTCCTAGCCCAAGTTCTCGGGCTGGGCTTGGGCCCGGGCCCAAACGAGCTTGCCCTGGGCCGCTGGTCAATTTCAATGTGAATATTCACATTGTCAACAGGTCGAACCCGCTCCGGGCCGCGGGCCAATTTTACACTCTTATAAATGTTAATGTTAACATGTCAATGTGAATATTCACATTGTAAACGGGTCGAGGCGGGCCAGGCCCGCGAACGGGTTTCGGGCCGCCTACGGGCCGCGGGTCAATTTTTCACTCCTATCAACATGAATGTTAATATGTTAATGTGAATATTCACATTGTCAACGGGCCGGACCGGGCCTGCCCCGGGAAGCCCATGGGCCGCAGGCGGGTTTCGGGCCGCCCATGGGCCGCGGATCAATTTTACACTTCTATCAATGTGAATATTCACATTGTCAACGAATCGGTCCCGCCCCCGCCTAAGGGGAAGCTTCGGGCCGCCCACGGGCCACGGGTCAATTTTACATTCTTACCAATGTGAATGTTAAAATATGAATATTTACAGCCCGCCCCGCCCCGGGTAACAGGCGGGCTGCAGATAGCGGGCCAATTTTACACTCCTATCAATGTGAATGTTAACATGTCAATGTGAATATTCGCATTGTAAACGGGTCGGGTCGGGCCCGTTGACGGGTTTCGGGCCGCCCACGGGCCGCGGGCCAATTTTACACTGCTATCAATGTGAATGTTAACATGTCAATACAAATATTTACATAGTAAACAGGCCGGGCCGGTCCCGCGGGCAAGTTTCGGGCCGCCTACGGGCCACGAGTCAATTTTACACTCCTATCAACGTGAATGCTAATATGTTAATATGAATATTCACATTGTCAACGGGGCGCCGGGTCGGGCCCGCCTCGGGCAGCCCACGGGCCGTGGCGCGGGTTTCGGGCCGCCCATGGGCCGCATGCCAATTTTACACTTCTATCAATGTGAATGTTAATATGTCAATGTGAATATTCACATTGTCAACAGACCAGGCCCGCCCCGGCTCGAGGGTGAGCTTCGGACCGCCCACGAGCCACGGGCCAATTTTACATTCTTACCAATGTGAATGTTAAAATATAAATATTTACAGTCCGCCCCGCCCCGGGCAACGGGCAGGCTTCGGGCAGCCCACGAGCCGCAGACCAATTTTACATTCTTATAAATGTGAATGTTAACATGTCAATGTGAATATTCATATTGTAAACAGGCCGGGCCCGCGAGCCGATTTGGGGCCCCCGCGGGCCGATTTCGGACCGCCCACGGGCCGCGGGTCAATTTTACACTCCTATCAACGTGAATGTTAATATGTTAATGTGAATATTCACATTGTCAATGGGCTGAGCCCGCCCCAGGCAGCCCACGGGCCGCCGGCCAATTTTACACTTCTGTTAATGTGAATGTTAACATGTCAATGTGAATATTCACATTGTCAACGGACCGGGCCCACCCCGGCCCAGGGGCGATCTTCAGACCGCCCACGGGCCACAGGCCAATCTTACATTATTACCAATGTGAATGTTAAAATATGAATATTTACATCATAAAATTGCTAACCGTTAAAAAAATATTTGTAAGGGTATCAAAATTAAATAAAAGGGCATAAAAGTCTAAAAAAAGAGTATAAATCAAGAAAAATGACTTTATGGAATAAAACTATACATACATGGGACTAAATGGGTTAATAAATTTCTTTATGGACTTTTTAGGTTAAAACACTTCTAAACGGGATTTATCAATAAAAATCCCTTGTTTATTATACTAAACATTAAAAATACAGAAAAAAGTATTTTTTAACCAAACAAAGCCTTACTAAGACCCACTCCAAAAGGTTTCCAAGTTTGCTAAATACAAAATAATTATCTTAAGCACAAAAAACACTTTCAAGATAGGAGGTGCTGCGATTTCCAACGCCCTTCCAGTGATTTTCGGGCGCTCCTCCAACAAATTCTCCAAACACATTTAATGTGAAGATCTTTGGGGAGATGGTTTGAGAGTTTTTCTTCCGATTTCGACATAATTTTTAAAAAATTTAACACTCACAATGATTTCTTCTTCTCTCAATCATTTTCCCATAATATTTTGGGTATTTTTTATTTTCAACTCTAATTTTTAGCAGTGACTAAAGTATGGAAGCAATTGAAGTGGCAGAGTTAGGCAGTGACAACGAGGACGATGGCAATGGCAACAACGGATTTGAGGCAAATTTTGTTTTTCCAAACCACAACTGTAAGAAGATTAATGGTTTTTCCCTAATGCTGTGATTGGTTGCGAAATTTGAGAAGGGATTTGAAAATAAAAATGAAAAATGTAGGTAAAATATGAATAGAATATACCTACATTTTACTTAGTTTCACACACATTTTCCTTTTTACTTTCCTTTTCCCTTTCCCTTTTCAAATCCCTTAACCAAACACAGCGTAAATCGTTATATTTTTTGCAGCTTTTTATTTTGTTGTTTATTCTTTGAAGTTCTTTTTAGATTGTTTGTTTGGACCTTTGAAGTCTTATTGTTTTTCACTTTCTTGATCCGTTTGTTATTTACTTTTATTTTAATATAATTACTTTATGTATTCTAAAAAAATACAAAATAATTAAATTTACATTATTAAATACACGTAATATTCATACCTTATTTTTGTATTTAAAATTGAGAGGGTAATTTGTATAGCCAAATTGGGCCGAATTAGGAAGCATTGTTTCTGAATATTGGGTCGCATTGTAGGCCAAGTTATGAGCTCCAGTTGCGGCCAGTTGGCGAGCCGAAGTGCTATATCGGCCACATATAAGAAGCCAAGCTAGAGGTAGCCCAACGAGAAGATTCAAAGCAATTTGTGATCGTGCGACCCGGTCAGGGTATTTGCGCCAGATAGTTCGGCTAGGCGTAGCGAGCTAAGTAAGGTGATAACCATCTCACTTAGTTGGCAGTGAGTAGGGTGTTATCAAAATATGCATCATCCTTGGGAATGTAATTCTTAAGAGGACTCTACTAAGGAAAGTAGAGTCCTACTAGGATTGTGCAAACCATCTCGCTTGGTTGGTAGTGAGTAAAGTGTTATCAGGACAGATACTCTTCATTTGGGAATGTAATTTTTAGGAAGACTTTGCTAAGGAAAGTAGAGTCCTACTAGGATTGTGCAAACCATCTCGCTTGGTTGGTAGTGAGTAGAGTGTTATCAGGATAGACACTCTTCATTAGGAGTGTGATTCCTAGGAAGACTCTTATAAGATGACTTGCAATCCTACTAGGATTGTACCAGGCAGAATCTATAAAAACTCGTAGCAGGACCTATATACAGGTATCCAAATTCTTACTCTAGAATACACAGAGCTTATTGTCTATTGTCTAGTTGTTGACTTAGGCATCGGAGGTGTGGCTAAGCGACGACATTTGGAGGAGTGCAAACTTGATCAACAAGATTATACGAAAATATTATTTCTATGCTCGTATAAAAATCAATTAAAAAACTCATTATGTATAAAATTTTACGTCCAATAAATTGGTTCAACACCCCCTTCTTGATACATACAATACACATTTATAGAAATTGTTGAAGGGGACTTTTGGGTATTATAATGAACCTGTGTTTTTTCATAACATTTGGGAGTCCAATAAATGAATAAAAAGGCTACTATATATCACTTAAACATTTCACAAAAAATTGACTTTGGCACTGATTTTCCTTCCAATTTGGGAAAAAAATACAATAAATATTACAATTTTAACATAATTATATCTACTTTCCTTGTAAATTTTTAAGAAATCGAATTAATACAAATAATATGAAGATACAAAGATAAATAATATAGAATATAGGATAAATTACACCAATAATCTCTATAGTTTGGGACATGTGTCACTTTAGTCCCTGACTTTTCAATTATGACACATTTGACCCTGAATTTTAAATCTGGTTTCAAATAAAGACAATTGAAGATACCATTGTTTAATTTTAAGGGCAAAATCATCAATTTAATAAAATATAAACTAATTTGACAAAAATAAATGTCAAACAAATATTTTTGAATTTTTAAAAATTATTTCTACCCATTAAAAATAAAATTATGTAAAATTGATAAATCTTTTAGACATTTTTTTTTTACAAAGTAATTTTATTATGTCTTTGAATGACGATCATGTAAAATTAATTTTAAAAAATTAATCATATAATTTTTATTAATTTTACATAATTTTATCATTGGTGGATAAAAATAATTTTAAAAAAATTAAAAATATTTTTTTGACATTTATTTTTGTCAAATTAGTTTATATTTTATCAAATTGACGATTTTATCCTTGAAAAATCTAATGATATTTTCAATTGTCCTTATTTGGAACAAGATTCAAAATTCAAGGTCAAATGTGTCGCAATTGAAAATCAAAATATCCATTAGAGAGCATCTGCAGTGATGCATGAAGCTTTTAGGGGAGCGTTAAAGTATCAAATACCATCTGTTCATAGATTGCCTTCCTTTCAGCAATCTTCTTCATCAAAGCCAACTGTTCCATCGAGTAAACATAGAGAGATCAAGAAAGAGATCGGTGTCGATCTTGTCACTGGGTATCAAATTAACATACGTAGAGCAAAAGAGAAGAGGCACGATAATGAGGAAGAGGTATGGTAGATCTCCACGGAAGTTGAGGTGGAGCTTTGCGATCTCAAATCTTAGGCGATCTGAGGTGATGATGGAGACGGTAGTGGTGATGGGGAACACTGGTGGTGGCTAGATGGTGGTGGTGAGAGACAATTAATTTGTGGTAACGGAGGAAGAGGAAGAGCTAAAGATGAGAGAAGAGGAGGAGAGATAGAAAGTATGAGGAGAGAGAGTTGGGAAATCCTATGTAACGCTTCCAAAATAACAACAGATAATCTTATAAAGTACGCTAATTATGCGGAAACTAATAAGATTTCATTATTTCATTAACTCGTTTATAATTACAAAAGGCACTACATACATTCACAAACCCTAAATTCTGAATTTATAGCATGATATATGTATATGTGACTTCAATTAGAAGAGAGAGAGAGAGAGAGGGATATAATTTGCGAGAGAAAGTAAGAGAGTGTTCTAGAGTTTGAGCTTGAGTGATCAAGAGGAAGAAGGGAAGAATTTGAGAGAACTTCATTAATTAAAATAGTCATACCATACATCTAAAGCCAAAGATTTCAATGACTGAGTAACAAAATTGTTGCAAACTTTGAATCACAGTGCTTTCCCCAATACGTATGTAATCATCAACTGCATCTGCTGCGACACCGTATGATAATATTCTCATCGCTGAAGGCATTTTTTGTAGGGCAGATAATCCAAGTACACGAGCTGCATCTTGTTTTTGAACAAAATATGGATTGTGTGCTTCAATTGCATTCAAAATTCGCAAATACAAAGGACGACGCATTCGAAAACGTCTCCGAAATATTGTAGGTGAATACACTGGATTTGCAGCAAAATAATCTGCAAACAATCTGTCATGACCTTGCCTTCTATCTCTGCGTATATACTTGTGACCTACAATAGAACCCCTTATTTTCTTTGAGCTATCACTTGACTTAAGAATTTGAACCATACTACTGGTATTCTGCTCATAAGCTGCTAAAAGTGTAATCATATATTCATCATCAGACTCCTCATCAGAGGAGGAGGAAGAAGAAGAGGATGAAAATGAAGTAAATATTATGGATTTCAAAGTATCCATTACCCACTGTTTTTGTTTAAGATATGATCCTTGTGTAGTTGTCTAAGATATGATCCTTGTGTAGTTGTCTGGCATATTATATAAATAATAATGTGTTTATATGAGATTTTGGTAAACCAATGGAGGGAAAAACAAATAGCAAAATAATTAGGAACAGAAACGGAGGGAAATCAAAAAAGCAAAAAATAAATAAATAAAGATTACCGGTCGACCGGCCGGTCAACCAACCGGTCGCCCGCTACCGGTTCACATCGGTCAGTTCACTTGGTTGGTTCAAACAGTTCAGTGGTTGGTTCAGAAAGGTTTTTAAAAATTATTAAAAATTTCCTCTACTCAGTCGACCGGTCCGGTCGACCATCCGGTTGTCCTGACTGATATTTTGATGAAGCTGAACGGTTGGAGTGTGAAGTATCAAATTCAGGAAATGGCCATTTTTTAACTCAGATTTGGTGAAATATTAGGTTAACCGTTGGAGATGCTCAACTTATGAATAACTGATGAAAAGAGAGTTAAGTATTAAGTTAATTAAAAATTTAAGAGAATCCAATGCGATTATACCGAAATTATGATACGTCAAAAGTTTATTTGGAATTATATCGTCTCTAGGTAAACTCAATATGTACCGGGTCAAGCCCAATAAACTAAAAAAAAAAGTTTCAACCCGGATATTTGACAGGCCAAACCTTTCCTGACCTCCGAGTAGCAGATACAACAAAACCCTAGTATATCAAATCACAAGCAGGATCCGCCGTGAGATTTATTTGGCCTTAGACGAATTTGGAAAGCGAGGCTTTCTACATATATGTTTTGTATAAAAATTTTATGGATAAAATAATAATTATTAATAATTTTTTTATTAGGTAATAGTAACAAAAAATTTCCTTACACATATAATCATTAAATTATAAATTAAATTTTATTTTCATATATTAAGATGTAAAGAAATCATTACAAAGACTTAAAAAATATAAAATATGGTCATGTTTTTTATTTTATTATATATAGTTTAACAATAATCAACACAAATAATATAATCCACTAATATTTGATAACAAAATGATTATGCTGTTATAATTTGATATCTAATAACACAATCATAATTCACATAAATCACAATCTATTGTCTATTTGATAGCAAAACACAAATTATTGGGGAAAAAAATTAAGAAAAAATCATTTAATTAAGTTATGATAAAGAGAAAGGGCAAAAAAATTAAGACAAAGTTATTTATTTTATTAAAATATTGACATTAGACTCTATTTGGATTCATTATAAAATATATTTCAATTTGTTTGGGCTATATAATTTTTTAATTAGGCCTAACAATGATTCTATATATATATTTTTTCAATTGGGCCAGGATTTTTTTTAGGCCTTTTAGACTGTGATTCAAACAATAAAAATAGATTGGGCTTGAAATTTTAATATAAGGGGAACTTATTAGGGGTATTTACGTGTAGGCCCTAATAAGTGAATTTATTATCTAATAGGTCATAGAGAAAAAAATTGTCACAAAAAAGTCACTAATTGTCAATTTTTAACGACGTATGTTAAAAATTGTCACGAAAAAATAATTTTTAGCGACAATTTTACCAAGACCTATTTTCAATAGGACTTGATGGAAATTAAGTCTAACTATTAGGACCTATTAATAGTTTACCCAACTTATATTAATAAGTCTCATATACAAAGTTTAAAACGCATCTAATTTCAAAATAAAACACTTGCATCAATTAGTCCTATATATTTTTAATTGTTACCAAAAAATTTCATTTTTTTTTTTAATTTACAAATGCTGCTACATTTCACTACTGTCAAACTTCCGTTAGAACGTTACCAGAGACTTGCCAAAATGTTCAACATTACAGGGAAGTCGCCAGAGTTCACTGGAGTGTTTTGAACGCCAATAGAAGTCGCCGGAATATCCAGAGCGTTTGCTGGACGTTAAGAACATCGTTGGAGACTTACCGAAATGTCTAGAATATTGTCAAAAAAAATAATAATAAATGGAGAAATTATAGTGAAAAAAACATATCAAAATGTGCTAAATATTTGATAAACTAAAAGGAAAAAAAAATGTAACGACAAAAAATAACAACAATGGATAAAAACATATGTTATTTTTTAATTTTTGTAGGGTTTAAGCAAATAATCTTCAATATTGATTAAACTAAAAAGCAAGCTTTGAAACTGTAAAATGTTACAGTTTCAAAGCAAAAATCTATTAAACATTTATCCTTATTTATTAAACTGAAAAACATGTTATGAAACTCCAAATTTTTTCAATTTTTAACTATGATTCATTCTAGTACCAAAAAAAATTGAAACTGCAAAATTTTATAATTTTCACCGCCGTAATTAAAACTCGAAAATAACTTGTTTAGAACTTGAAAAATTTCTCCATTAAAGCAGGAAAAGTGAAGTGTATAACAAAGAAAATGTAGAAAAATTAAGAGATCAGAGAAGAGAGGCAGATATAGAGAGAGGATTGTACTCCGGCAACTATTTTTTGTTTAGATCTAGTCGATTCTGATGTAGATTTACTCAGATCTGATGTAGATCTACATAAGATTTGATATAGATCTACTCATCTTCTTCGTCAGAAACATATCTTCTTCACTGTTAGCGAGGGTGAAATAAAGAGTCGTCAATCGGTGGTTGTTGGTAAACCCTAATCAATGGTAGTCATTGGTCGCTGGTGGCTATATATCAGAAAGAAAAAGAGAAAAAGTAAGATATGGCTGCCCATCGACGATTGTCGGAAATCAGAAAGAGAAAGAGGCTGAAAAGAAGAAAAACGTTATAAGACTTTTGAATGTAAACAAAAGGTTGTGGGACTAAATAGGTTACACTTTTTTCAAAGAGGACTTCGTAGTAATTTGCTCTTAATATAATATAGAACTAACAAATTTTGGGGAATCTACCTATAGGTCTCATATACAAAGTTCAAAACATGTCTAGTCTCAAAAGAAAAACACTTGCACAATTCGTCCTATATATTTTTAATTGTTACTTAAAAATCCCTTTTTAAAATAAAAAAATAATTTAAAGGCGCTACTACATCCAACCATCACCGGACTTCTATCATACGATTATCGTAGGCTCGCTGGAATGTTCAACATCATCGAGAAGTCATCGAAGTGTTATGAATATCACTGGAAGTTACTGAAAACGTTCGCTGGTCAATAAGAATATCATCGGAGACTCACCAGAATGTCTGGAATATTGCCTAAAAAAAAGAATAAATGGAGAAATTAGAGCGAAAAAATATAGCAAAATGTACTAAATATTGATAAACTGAAAGGAAAAAAAATGTAACAATAACAAACAACAACAATGGGGAAAAAATATGTTATTTTTTTTTAAAAAAAATTGTAAGTTTTTAATCAAATAATCTCCAATATTAACAAAACTGAAAAAGTAAGCTTTGAAACTGTAAAGTTATAGCGATCCCGGTTGTCCCTTTATTGTTCAGTTGTATTTCGGACTCTGTTCCGTGGAGTTGGTAGTTGTATCTATCTTGTTGTCGTCCTTTAAATCCATTTGTTTGAGTTTTAGGATGTGTTGGGCTTGGTTGTTACAGGTTGGTAGAGCTTTGGCTCCCATTGTTGTTGCCCAATTTTTGAGTGGTCCGCTCGAACGGGTCATTTTGCGCTCGAGCGGGGTTTACACCCTTCCAGCGTTTCGAGTCCCTGCAAAACTTCTGCAGGTGTATTTTCTACGCTCGAGCGGGTTTCTTGCGCTCGAGCGAGCTTGTTGGCACTCGAACGGGTAGTACCTCGTTGGTGAAAGTTCTGGGAGATGAAACTCTACACTCGAGCGGACTGGTCTTTCGCGCTCGAGCGAGTGTGCTTTGTCTTTGTGTCTTGGCGCTCGAGCAGGAATTCTTGCGCTCGAACGGGATCAGTTTTCTGTTCTTGACGCTCAAGCATCTTGTTATCCGCCCGAGCGGGAATGTCGTATATCAGTTGGCAGCTAGGCGTTTTAAAATCACTTTTTACATTCTCTCTCTCTCTCTCTCTCTTACTTTCTAAAAACACTTTTTGAGAGCTTCTCTCTCTAGGATCTCCCTTCTCTCTAGGGTTTGATCTAGTTAGAGTGTCTCCCTATCCTCCGGCCTTTGTAAAAAGTGTGTTGATCGTCGAGAGCTTCGTTTTGATCCGTGGATCTTGGAGTTTGGAGCATTTTGGGTTTTCTTCAACTTCCCCGTTTGAGCCCTAACTTCGAAGTAGAGATATCCTACTCCTCTTTATGAGCTTTGTCTTTGAATTTTAGTATTTTGATATGTTGGGGGTTGTTGGGTAATTTTGAGAAAGTTTGGGTCTTTGTGTAATTTTACAAAAGATGGGATTTTATTTATAATTAAACCTATATGCATGTTTGGCATAGATGAATGATATAGATGATGAACTATGGATGAAAGTGGAACCTTGGGGTTGTTATGTTAATTATGGGAAAATGCCCTAATTAGTTGGATAAATTAATTTGTATAATTAATTTTGAGAAATGAGGAATTGAATTGAGAGTATTCAAATTGAAAAGATTATGGGATTAACGGGTGTAGTTGGATTCATTTAATCGCTCACCCAGGTTGAATGTTGATAATATATCCATTTGGTGCATTTATTTCCTGTTTAGAAATAACTGCATTGGGCTATCGGTGGAGGATAGCCTTGATTGTTGTAGACAATGCATGATGATTAGGCAAACTAAAACTAATCGATTGAGTATGCTATTGAATATAGCGATTGGAATAATACATTGAGTTTATGTATTGATTGTTTATGTATATGATCGATGTTTATATACATTGTGTGTGTGGGAGGAGATAGGGGATGTACTCCACGGTTTAGGGGAAGATAGGGGATGGACCTCTAAGCCGGATTGTGTATGACATTGATACAACACTACCATGTATATCAAGTGTTGATTATGGAAGCGTTTAAATTGATTTGATATAGTACTAAAATGTATATCGTTATCAATTGTGAAGTATAGAAGTGTTTCTATGATATGTTGATACAACACCACAATGTGTATCGTTCGTATAGTATGGGAGTGGTTTATGTGTTATTGATACAGCATCAAAATGTGTATCCACCATGAATTTCAAAAGTGTTTTTTTTAAGATGAGTCTTATTCTCATTAAGTTATTTGACTAAGTTTCGAGCCTTGTTTTCAAACTCAAGGTTGAAAAAGAAATGAGAAATAAAATGTAACATGGACTTAAATGTCATGAAATTGGAATGTGATATAAGTGAGTGTATCGGTGTTGACCATCTATCAACTGCTAATCTTTTAGTCATTGTTCATAGCTGGTTTAGTGTACTTCTGTTGGGCTGTGGCCCACCCTTTATGGGACATCATTTTCAGGTACAGGTAGCATGCCACCTCCAAGGAGATAGCTTGGGAGGCTAGAGGCAGACAGACTGCTTTTGTTGTTTGCTTGCTTTTGATGTATTATATGTAAATTCAAGCCAATGGCTTAATATGTATTGAGTTAGCACTCTTCTTTTTGTAACCAAGTGTTAACTTGGAAAGCTGTAAGCCCGTAGGGCATTTGCTTTTGTTGTTAACATGTAATACTTTTGTAAGAACTACTCTGATTAATGGAAAGATGGTTATTTTCTTATATCCTTGCATATCAAAAATGATGGGTTTTACGTATTATTTTGAGGGCGTTACAAAAATTGTTACAGTTTCAAAATATAATTCTATTAAGCATTTATCTTTATTAATCAAATTAAAAAACATATTATGAAATTGCAAAATTTTACAATTTTAAAGCATGATTCATTTCAGCCAAAAAAAAAAAAAATTAAAATTGTAAAATTTTACAGTTTTCACCACCTGTTACTAAAACTGGAACACAGCTTATTCAGAACTTGAAATTTTTTCCCATTAAAACAAGAAAAGAGAAATGTGTAGCAAAGAAAAAATAAAAAAACTGAGAGATCAAAGGAGAGAGAAATATATAGAGAGAGGATTATATTTTGACAACTATTTATAGTTTAGATTTAATTAGATTTGATATAGATCTACTAAAATTTGATACAGATTTGAGTAGAAATACATCCAATTTGAGTAGATCTACTAATCTTGTTCGTTGAAAACTCATCTGTTTCGTCGTTGGTGAGGGTGGAGCAAGTCGGTGGTCGCATGTAATTTTTCCAAAAATTTTGGGGTCCTATTTTAGGCCAAAATTTAGGCGCTCATGGCACAAGCCTTACTTGCCTTAACCCAGGGCCGGCCCTGATCACGGGAGCATTTCACCAAGAAAATCTCTCCAATTTACAGTTCCACTATGTAGAATCATTTTTTTTTCATCTACACTCAAAACCTAGTTCGGCAATTCTGTTCATCTCACCTATTGCTTCAGAACTATTGGATAATTTTTAAAAGTTAATTGGCATTTAATTTGAATTAGGGATATCACTATTAGCATAATCGCTGTTTAGGATGTCATTCCCAGTTCCAAAGACAAAAAGCAAAAAAATAACTAAAACAGACACTGCCTGCAGGCTTTCCAAACACTGAACAAAGGGAACACGGGAAACAAAATGTGAACCTTTGTTGCCAATTGATCTTCAAAATTCCGTAAAACTATATCTTCTAATCATCTGATCTTGAATTTAAAACAAACTTGATAATTTCATACTAATATTTTTGTGAAAATTGACTTTAAATGGTTCATTTTCCAGTGAATTAAAAGACATTATTAATTTTATAAATAAATAAATAAAAAAACTCAACATTTTCTTAATAGAGGTCTGGTTATAATTTTAACAGTATGTGAATGCATTCTAGTCACTGAAGTCGCACACACTATTCAAACCTGTTTTTTAACTAATCCTTCCCCACAGACAAATTGCATGTTCCAAAAATAAAAAATAAAAAAAATCATTTTGATAGTTTAATTTGTTATAAAAATGTTATATTTGATTAGGTCATTGCTTATGTACGTAATTAGTCTTCTTGCCGCTCCATCACATCAAAAATTTTATTATTAACAAATGTAAGTCCAATTAGTATATCTATTGTCGAACTACAGTGTTAAAACATTTTCAATACGATGACTAAAATATGTGTACTAAAATGTGTATTAACTGATAAAAAGTAATAAAAATGGAACTCAATTTTTTTTTTTTTTAATCTAAAATTATGTACTATCAAATAGCTCATTGGAGATACTCAATGTAGCATCAATTTTAAAGTTTTCTTTTAAATTTGTAAGCTCGAATGTTAATTATTAAGCTAGTGTTAAACATGATTAAAATAGCAAGTTAATGGTAATAAACATAAAATTTTAAAAAAATAAAAATTAATGCAGTAATAACTAAGAAACGACAGCAATTTTGGTGAGATACATATGTGTAATTCGTAATTTGATCAGATATTAAAGTATTTAAAGCAGTTAAAATCTAAATAATTATCTTGTTTTACGGGCATTTTTTAGAGAGAAAAGCATGATTGTCACACCAAGGGAGGTGTTGGCTTTACAGTTAATAAAGATGCAGTGTTGTTGATTGTGATTAAAAAAAATGATTTTAATTCAATTTTCAACTAGAAGATTTTAATTTTTTTAGATATTCCAACAAGAAGAAATTACTTGTGCTTGATCTCATACTCTTGGACACCAATTTCAGTTTGTCCTTGGACAGAGCAATTATTTCAATCATGTTAAAATATTTCTGGGTTCAATAATAATAATAATTATTATTATTATTATTTATTTTGCATTAAGTCAATGATTATGATTTGTTTTATTTTGATCATTATGATTCATCATTATCAGGGTCTTAGTCCCTTTCAAGTCATCAAGTTCCAACTAATTTTATATTATTGAACCCATATTTTTATATTCAATGTCATTGTTCCCTTAATCACCTTTGGGTCATATTAAATTATATTGTGAATTACATATACTTTTATATGGCTCAAAGAAAATTCAAATATTTTACTCCTTTTAATTAAACTATGAATTACATATACTTTGATAACCAATTTTAATTTACTTAAGCAATGATATTGTCTATTAAAAAAAAAGTAAGCAAATTATATCAAACAAAAGTATAAATGATTGGATTAAAAAATTATGAATTAAAATTCAGCATTTACCATCCTATCACATCATGGGAAATATATTTGGTAAGCAAATTTTTTTAACAGTGGCGATACAGACCTCCTCAGATTCTCCACCCCCACCACCCCCACACACACGTGGGGGTTGGTGAGTGGGGGAGAAGAAAAAAGAAAAAAAAAAAATTTTGACCAATGAAAGGCAGAGGGGGTCGTGGGGGTTGCTTCCAAAGAGGGTCTAAGTCTTTTTTGTTTTTTTAATATTCAGTCAAAAGAAACTATGAGAAATGATACAACGGTAAAATTATATATGTTTTAACATGTGAGACTATAGAAAATGGTAAATCTTATATCCATAAGTTTTTTATTCAATTGTCTATGCTTTTATTGATTAGAATTTGCTTTATACTTAAAAATTGGAAAAATGATTTTTAAATAAATAAAAAATGGTTATAAAAATGTGATTCATAGTTTAATGAGAATGAGTAAATTTGGAATATATCTCAATGATAATTTTTATAAAAAATACTTCCTAGCAATTTTCTAATTTAAAAAAAAAAAAGAAAAAAAAGAAAAAGTGATCATGGAATGTGGCTTTCATTGGTATCTATGATTTCAAAAGAAAATTATCATAATTGTAATTTCCAGTTGAAATTTATAATTACTGTCGCAACTCTTTCACATTTGATTGTTGTATTTTTCTCAATCCCTGTTTGGTAATAGCTCTGTCAATTTTATTATTATTTTTTCTGTTTGATAATGGTTGATTTAGCTGACAAAAGAGAGGGGGGAAAATCACTAACAAAAATACAAAATTTTAACATTTAGCAAATTCATCATTTTTAAAAAAGTTATTAACAAAAATCAACTAAAAAGGCATTTCTCATACCCCTCCCCTTATGTAATCCTTACTATAAAACCGAGAAATAATTATGTAATAGGTTAGACATACTCTAAATTCACATAGTAACGCTCAAATGTGTATTTCTAGAGGCTACATTTAAATTTTAAAAAAAAATTGAAAGGTAAATTATCAATTAGTCTCTTTAATTTTGATTTACTTTTCAAAATGACCCTCAAAAATTTTATTTTTTCCATTAAAGCCATCCAACATTGCTTTCATTTTAATGTTACCTTTAAACTTTATAGTGGAAAACCTCAAAAATTTTCTAATTTAATCCCTCTAACTTTCAGGAAAAAAAAGAAAAAGAAAAAAAAAAGTCAATGTAATCCAATTTATTATTAGATATGTCGTTTTATATAAAATAGATTAGACTAGAATCACTTAATTATTAAAATTGAATGACTTAAATATAAAAATTAGAAATTTAAGAGTCATATTGAAAATTAGATTAAAATGAGTGGGACTAATTGATTATTTATTCAATCACAAGAAATGGAAACGGCAGTGGCATTAGGTCATTTTCATGAAAAATTATTGATTGCTCCAGGATACCACGTGGCTATGTTCTGACCAATTAGAAATTATCATATCTCTTCGTATTCTCGAATCATCCAACACAAAATCGTGAGTCTTACCCCCTCCACTAATCATAATGCACATGGAACACCATGTATCGCTGCCCTGGACCAACCTCTCCATTTTCATGGCTTGTCATCCCATTGCCACCTTCCCAAATAAACCCACAACTTGTTCATATTTTAGTCCAAAATTTTTGGGTCTATACCTAATTTCTCAAGTTGTTTAATCTAACATCTTCAATATGGGTATAAATACACTGATCTACTGACATATACATAGAAATTATATACTGTATATATGTACATATGTATGTAGCTATGTATGAATGAAGTAAAATGTGTATGAAATAGGATAATTCTCATTTTGACTTTCAATTTAAAAGGGTTAGTCGAGTGACAAATTGAGCCGTGATAAGCGTAAATCTTGAGTTTTGAATCTTATAAAGGGCTTGAGCCTTTTAAGCCACTGTACCCTGTAATTACTTAGTATATGTGAAACGGGTTTTCATTTGATTGAGGAAAAAGACATGCATGGTATTTGGAATCTAAAGAAAATTTAGTGTTATTTGATTCCCTGACTTGATTTTTGTAAATTATGCCCACCATCTGGTTGTTAATAATTCAAGAACAGAAAAAAGAAAAGAGAAAGAAAATACACACAACAGTGCTGTATAATCATTGTACACATCATTTCTCCTTTGTATTCATATTGTAGTTTGGTTTGAAGTTCATGTCCTCAAACTTTGCCTTGCTTGCTAGTCTGAGTTTTGTTTATGGTGCTTGTCTCTGTACACAATCACCAATTGGGTACCCAGCAAATAGCCATATATATACTGCTGATCAAACAAAGAAGCGTTGCAAGTTTTATTCATTGAATGCGAAGTTCTCTTTTTCAAAGGCGTAGACAGTGATCCGTAATACCCTTCTGTGATTATCCAAGATATACTCATTCTCAAGTCTTATATTTGTGTAGAGTTTGAATTGTAAACACATTTTTTGGTCAGAAGCAGTTTGCCTGATTCGCTGTTTTAGAAGGATTCTTGTTATAACTAAGGTTTGTGACAGTTATATGGTCATAATTTTTTATATAATTCAGTGGCATATTTCTTTTCTTTCATGTCATTCAATCTATTGTGAATGTTCTGATTCAAAGTGGATTATTGGGTAATATGGTAAATGGCAGAAACAAGGGAAGCTCAGCCGATGTTTCTTTTGTGAAGCCGGGGACCAGCAGGCGGAACTTGAGTTCATTCCAATCTCAGGCAGTTCAGAGTGAGGCGGGAAAGAATTTCACGGAGATGGGAGGAAGGGGTTCTTCAGATTTTTATAGGAACACAAGTGAAGAGTTGTTCTTGAAATCCTTGATGGAGAGCTCAATTGGAATGCCTGTGCCAACCATGGAAATGTTGGGTTTTAAGAATCTTTCCCAAAATATTCGTACAGATAGCGAAGAACTCTTCAAAACTTGGCTCACAAATGGAGAGGCAAGCCATTGTACTATCTTGTTTTGTTGACTTTGTTTCTTAATCCATGTTTATAACTTCTTTGCTCAATCAAAGTCATATGCACGCATAGTGAAAGCCAATGCCATATTGAAGAATCGAGTGAATAGTGGTTGATCATTGCAACGTTGTTAAGTATTAACATGACGGTAGCTTGTTTGATCAAGGAGCTACAAGCATACTTTGAAGTTTAATAACCTTTGCATTTACCTGATTTTGTTTTATTCTAGCTTATTATCGTCTAATATCTCAATGAACTTTATTTAATCGGAGGTTTCCTGTTTGGAGTTGAAAATTTCTGTCTAGTTTAGGCATCAGAAGTTCTATAATTTGAAACTGAGAAACAGTCAGCATTAACATGTTTCTTTGATCATTTAGTCTCATAAGTTTGTGACTTGTGGATTTATCTTACTTTCTACTTTTGGGTTGGAACAGAGAATTCTTATATTCATCTTTTGTGATAGAATCCAAAAGCATGAACTAGCCACAGTTCAAAGTCATAACTTATAGAAGTTAAAATTAACAATCATCTAATTGCTTCACATTTTATAAATCCCAGGAGCCAGTCATGATATAGATTGTCATATCATTTTTTTTTAACTGTTAATTTTATGCATAGCTGGAAAAACATTTTAATTTGACTATAATATAAGCAATTTGTTAATGAAAATCAAATAATTGAACCTACGGTTGACAATTGTCTTGCGAACAGTCCCTTGTTTAACAGAATGAAATATGAATGCTTCTGGTAACTTTTACCAATTCAGAAATCAGTGGAAATGATTGAAATGCCTATATTTATGTTTTGTCCTAGTTGGTTCTTTTTCTTTTGTGATATTGTGTTAAATTGTCTGATTGTTCTTTGCTACCCCCTGCTCAAATTGTTGTTTTTCTCAGTTGATATATTTTTTGTTTTCCAGAACCATGGCTATAATTCAACAAGCATAGTACATTGTACTCGACACACATCACAAAGGTTAGATGGTCACAGTACTAAAATTTCACATTTGTTCATAGGGTCTACTGATCTATTACCCACTGTAATTATTTATAAGACTGCTTCAAGAATTACATTGTACTTCGTTGTATGGACCTCTACTCACTGTATTTGCGATGCAGAATAGTGGCTCTTCCCACCCCTTCTTTTGCAAGATCTTCATGGCTTTTGCATGCAAATATTTGTAGTTGTAATAGTAGTGTTAGTGGCAGTGGTAGTAATTGAAGGGACGATGATGAGGATGCTTGCCTTTCTAGTATGCATAGCAACAAAAGTGCTTCAATCTCCATAATCTCTCTCTCTCTCTCTCATTTTTCATATTAGTCTGTATGTACTCTCATATACGTGAGACGATACCTTTTTACTGTACAATAATGGCATGTCTCGGAACTCCTTTTTAAACGGACTGATTGGTGGATATTCTGGGAGGAGATGAATAGTTGATCCAATTAGCAAGAACCAGATTTTGTTATACCACCAACTTCTTTTCACAAGTAAACAACATGTTAAATGCAGGATGCCCACAGAATTAGCCGGCTCATCTGGTCAGCAACTTGGGGGTGTACTTCAGAGGAAACAAAGCAACGACAATTTATTCCCACAAAATACCGCTTTGGTTGATGAACAGTCAAGTGATATGAATCAAAATTCAATTAGGTGACTCCTGTAACTTTTTATACATGTGATTCTGAATCACATGTTTCTAGATACTTTTAATTTTTAAATCACCAATGCTTTCTAAGTTTATTCAGTTTCAATATGGTCCTTTTCTGCATTGGTTGCAGAGTAAGCATTTATGTCATAGATGATGATTGAATTTGCCTCTTTTTTTTTTTGGGTCCATCAGGAATGTGGTTGAAAGAGGGTTGCAAGCTAGTAATCTCTATTTGGCTAAGGTCTGTATATATTGAGATTGTTGCAGAAACACAGTTCAATATGACATTCCAAGACAATCTCATATTTTTTGCATGCAGGCATGGTTTCATAGTTCTCAACCAATGACAAGAAGTCGGTCGTCTGAATTACGGTAGCATTCTTTTTGTTGTTTACTAATGTTCATAAAAATTATATTCATGAGATTTTCAGTTAGTTGCTAGCAGTTGCACTTTACCAAACAAGTCATACACTGCATGTCATAGTAAGACATTGGCATTTGGAGGATAGCTGTTATTATTTCAATTGTAGGCTGAGCTAAATACTTGCAAAATGAGAAATTTGGGGCTTCATTAATCGAAGTTTCTATGATTTAATTTCTTTACAACAGAGAAAAAGTCGTTTTCTTGGATTCATCCTAGTAAACACTTCCTTTGCAGGAGGAGGTATGTTTCCATGCAGAACTCTCAAACATCACTCGGTGTGGAAGTCATGCATAATGTATCTGGGCACGGTGTCAACAATTTGAAACAGGAATTTGCGAATCCAAATGGATTTGGTGATGTTTCAAGGTGTGAAATTCCCAACTACTTTAACGCATTTATGTCTCCATCCAATTCAGCTTCATCTACTTTCAACGCCCCTCATACCGATAACATAGACAAAGTTTCCTCTGTTGTGAGCATGCTGAAGGGGACATTACAACACAAGAAGCTTAATAATGAGACTGTTGAAGACAGCTCCTTGGAACTTTATGGTGCTCAAGAATTTCTAGGTGACATGAGTTTGAATCAAGGACAAGGAAATCGTATCCATGAAACATCGAGAACAATTCAAGATGTGTCATCTGTTCAAGTTAATGATCATGGGGTTTTAGAAGCTGTTGAAGGATCATTGGATGTGGATTTAGACGGTTTTGTAAATCCTACAAATCCAATGCAGATGAGCATGGTATCTCGAGAACCTTCACAAAGTGAATCTTCTGCTGCTGCACCGGCAGTCTCAACTGGCTTTGATGTGTGTGATGAGCCCACCAACTTGGGTCAAACTATGAGCATTGGTGAGAGCTCCAAGAAACAAGTTGGAAATGGAAGGAGTTCAGAAAATGGCACCAGAGCCAAAGGTATGTATTATATGTACAAGATGACTTCAGCATTTAAGTTCATATGCATAGAGTGGATTATGCCATCGAGTTATATGCTAATCATTATCTCTATTATCAGAATCTTACAATTCGTTATTTGGTTCACGATTCAATTCGCAATTCATGCATAATCGATACAAATCTATTGGTAAATCTATTTTGGAAATGAATCTATAGTGAATCACACTATTCATAATAAGAATTATTTTATAAAATGTGCAAAAATCAATTTATTTCATTTTTGTTCCTATATATGATTGTTTAACTTCATTTTTTTATAGTCTGTATTGAATCTTAATGATTCTTGATTCAATTCACGATTTGCCAAATTAGGATTTTGATTCACAATATGATTCTCGATTTGGTAACTATGATCATTATTGTTTAGCAATGCCTTGTTTGAATTATTTTCAGTTCCTAAGATATTCAGATGTAGAACAACCATGGTTTCTGTTCTCATCACTGTGTCTGACCACCCGAAGCTCTTTTTTTTCACTTGCTGTTTTCTTCCCAAAAAGCAACTATATCTTTCTTTAGAAATACAGCATCCATAAGATCAATCATATGGAATCACCGTCTTATTTTTATACTTTTGAAAGATACAAAGCGTGCATCATTGGAACTTTTCGCTCTGTAATCTCAACCATGAGACAATTTCTTTACATTATTAGTAGTACTTGAATGCAGAGAAAATAAATACAAAGGTTTATTCATTCATTAATGGAAGATATTTGGATGTTTTATGTGAATGATATTTTTACTATTGTTTTTTATCAAAAAAATGTTTTGTTTGGAATGTAGCCATTGCAAAAAATGGGAAATTATTCCAAATTTGTGTCATTTCCAAGCATCCCATCCCAATGCCTTTTCTTTCATCTTTTTTCCATTTTCCGGAAATTTGTGTTCACTAAGAATGAGAATACCCTTGTTGAACTACAGACATAAAGGAACGTATAGATGACAACTTAAAAGATGATCAAAAGGTATGCTCTACCCAATCCCAGTTCTTTGATAATGAACACAAACTATTGACACTACAGTTAAAAGGCTTGAAGTGAACCACTAAATTTCAAAATTTTCTTCCTTGTTTATTTGTCTTCAGCCGAGAAGATGTCTTGTTCGTTATGGGTCTGTGACATCAGCTGGTTCGGGTAATCAAATTTCGTAGAACTTCACTAGTATGAGGCTTTCCATTCCTGTTTGTTAATGTAAATTATGTAAATTACCACTACCACTCACTCCACCTACCACCTCCACTACAACCCACTTCACCTACCACCTCCACTTCACCCCCTACCACTTCACCTACTACCTTCTTCTCTTCTATATATTTGATCATTGTAAACATAACATAATCAATCAATACAATCAATCAATAATATACATCAATTTATTGTAACACTGTTCTTGACTAATTTCACCCAAAAACTTATACTAAAAAAGAAACATTTTCTTCTTAGATACTTTATATGCTTTAGATCGTGGTGCAAACACAATGTGATAGTACCAAAATGGAAATAAGTGCAAGTAGGCAGTATCTAGATTCAACACTGAATGGAAGAACATTCATATGGAAAAGTATAACTCTACAAATTTGAATATTGTTTGTTTATTTTATTCTTACTTCATAAATCCATGTATTTTTGTGTGCTGTTTCTCCATTTCTACCCTTATTTTGATATAAGCACTGTTAAACATTTATTTATACTACTACAGATTTGTACTGTAGCATTTATCAATATAACTTACTCTAACCAAAAGAAGTACTGCAGTGGAAAAAGGGGATCCTACAAAGAAGCGTAGGGTGGAGCGATCACGGAAGTACGTATTACTATCTTGACAACTTGGAGGAGAGTGGCCTCTTCCTTTATAAATTCTTAATTTCCTTAAAACTTTTATAACCTTACTTTTTATATAGCCTTCTGAGCCAATTAGTTTCAATTTTTAGCCATTTTTAATTTTCTAGCTTTTTCCTTTCTTAACATATCTTTGTGAGTCATACTTGAAAATGGATAAATTCTAGATTATTGATTCTAAATTCTACATTTTGTAAATTTTATTTATTTAAACATGTTATTAGATCATTAGATGTCACTCAACATGATAAAAATATGTTTACACATTAATTGTTAATTAACTCAATGCTGTTTCATTTTGTCTCAAATATGACAGAACTGAAAGGCATGAAATTGATGTGTATAATTGGACCTAATGTAGGTAAAAAAATATATCTACTTTATTAGACATAGAAAGAATTAGAGAACAAAAATCCTTTAATCTTAAGCAAAATTCAAAAATGAAAATAGAAACCTAGTACACTATTACTGACATCCACTAGCTCTGATTGAATGGCAAGAGACTAACCTCTCTGAATGATTGGTTCCTGATCCAAAATTCAGTGACCAGCCCTGGAAGGTCGCTCTTAAAGCCATTTTCCATCATAAGATAGACTTCAAACGTGCCATTTGGTTTTCTCTTTGCTTCATCGATTTCTATTTTCTCTTGCTTCTGTAATTAGTTTCATGAAGATGAACATAATCGATCCACATCCTATATGCTTTTCAGTGGCTAGTCTGCACTTTTCAAACATTGAATTGATCCTTTTCTTCTACCACTCAATTGCTTTATACATTTTTTTATGAAGCTGAAGAGGCATTACTCTCTAGAGTTCTATAATTAAAAAACTTTGTAGTAATTTAAGACAAATACACTCTTTTAAGTATGCTACACGAAGATGAAAGCTATCTTCTAATGCTACTAATAACATTTATTAGCAACTTGCTTTATGTTGAATTTTCTGGTTGATGTAGAATGGCAGAGGCCAAGGAAAGGAATCTGACACCGCCAATTCCATCAGACATGCAGTCCATTTTGAAGCGGTGTGAAAATCTTGAAAAGGAAGTGCGATCGCTCAAACTTAACTTGTCTTTCATGAATAGGTACTGGCAGAATTTTTATTCCTTATTTTTTAATTTACTTACAATATGGGTATCATACACATTTAATTTTAAGTTTTCACTTTTGCTGGCCCTGTTTTCACTTATTAAGAAGGGTTATATACAGAAATAGTCCCAAAGGATGTGTCACGTGTCATTTTGGCTCCCGATGTTCAAATGTGTTAATTTGATCCCCAACCTGTTGATTTTGTTACTAAATTGTCCCTACCTCCATTTCCGTCTACAATTGATAACGGAAGTAAGGATATTTTAAATCACATTTACACATCAACAAAACAAGGCAAAAAACAGTCCCCAAAGTATGTGATTTGTTTAAATTTGGTTCCCGATGTTTCAATTGTGCAAATTTAAATGCCCGTACACCAGTGATGATGCATTGGTTGGGTTCTGAATTTGGGTTACCCAAAAATCTATTATCATGGAATTGGTACTACATCCCTAAGAACTTACAAGAAATATATTACAACACAATTTAGAATCATGATTGATGCTTTGGTACAGATTGGACCTCTGATCATGAGTATCTTTTTTTTATCAGACCTACAACATAGGCATTTGGCTGCCATTAAGTAGTTTTCCTCTATAAAACGATCCAAAATTTTTCTTCTGCTGTTAACCCACTTGAGATGTCTTTTAAATTTTCAGGAAGGATTCCGAACAGACAAAGCAGATAGAAGAGCTTCAAAAACAGAATGAAGAGTTGACAGAAGACAAGGAGCATCTTCTAGAAGAGATTGAGAGGATTATTGCGGAGCCAGGAAAGATGTAAGACCTTCATCATTCTTTCCTTCCACCTTCACTATTCTATCCGCTTCGAGCACAAGGATTCATTACCGCTACAAACCCTTCAAGAATCTAAGCCTTTGTAACAGCACCGGAAAAGTCCCCAAAATGCCAAAAATTAAAACCATGTAAAAGCAATGGATTGCTAGTTTGCTAATGTTTTTAAAAATCCCATAAATCTCTTGTATCCATTACTGTGAATACAGGTGATTTAAAAAAAATTCTGTAAGAAGTTAGACCATTTGGATTTTTTATGGATTTGAACAGCCAAGATGAGCTTTGGAAGTGTTTTCGTTGCTGTGAATAACAGGTTTTCATTTCTTACTGGCAGGTGGTGAACTAGTTTGCCTGCTAAATCTGTGGAAATCAAAATTTTGCTTCACATTAGTGGAAAACATGTTTAATCTGAAAAACATACAGTCGCTTGTTTTAGGGTTGAAAAGCTTTTCTTTGCAGGTGAAGTGAAGGTTACATGTTCTTGCCCCCTGCATGGTCATGCAGAAAATAAGAGCACATATGGAGGCTTTTGAGAGCAATTCCACCAAATACATTTTTACTGTGTAGTTTTCATTTCTAATGTTTTTGATAATAGAAAACAGTTTTCAAGAATGATATCAAACAGTTGGTCATTACTTCTAACTTTGTGTTGCCGCTCCAAGCAGAGCTACGATTGCAAATGAACTGAACTGCTTATAATTTAACTATTATATATAAATGAATTCCAATTAAAATTTTAAACTCATTTAGTAAACGGATCAAGAATCAAGTTTGAGCTAGAATATACTCAAGTTTTAAGCTCGGTTTGTACAGTTCAACTAGTTTATTATTTATTTAAATAATAAGATAAATATATTATTTATATATTAAGTAATGTAAAATGTGCTATATTATGCATATTTATGAAAAAAATAATATTTAATGAGAAATAATAAGATAAATATATTATTTATATATTAATTAATATGAAATGTCTTATATTATGCATATTTATGAAAAAACTAATATATAATGAGCTGATTGAGCTTGATTATTGAGCTCAACTTTTACTTTCAAAACGAGTTTGAGCATAATAAGTATAACCGAGCTTGAGCATAACTAATATGAACGAGCCTAGTTGAGCTTGAATTAGAACTGAATTAATTTTTGAGCAAAGCTTGCGTTTGAATTTTGAGCTCAATAAATAAACAAGTCAAGCTTAAACCTCACAAAGTTTGGCTCGATTCGACTCGTTTACAGTCTGAAATGGAGACTAGGGCTTAAAGTAGCAGGTCTGCAGCCGAAGGTCCCAGAAAACAAATTGTGCAAAAACACCACATGTCAACAGATTCCGAAGCATTTTCAAATCGAAGTGAGCCAAAAACAAGATCTTCGACATTATTCTATTTTCACACATACGCCAGCTAAAGTGCTGACAATGCATCTCAAGCCCAACATTCGCCAAACTGCAACAATTCTATTTCACAAGTTACCTTTACACAAACAGTTTTCCTACTTACTTGGCCAGATATATTACATGTATGATAAACTACAACAGGCCACAGCTACTCGGGAACACTCTGCACAAAATAAAGTTACATTTATTTCTCATTTGTAAAAAAAAGTTGCCGAAATGAGTGCTGTCTTGTATTAGATTACTCTGAAAATGTCTGGGAGGCCGAGCTTTCTCCCATATTGGATGGACAACCAACCCACAACTGAGAAGTATGCTATAAACAAACAAGCCCGCTTACAGATTTGAGGCAAACAAGACTTCACTTGTTGGAGAATTCTAAACATGGTAATGGAGATCAAGGAAGTCGAAAAACCAGTTATAAGACCGGCCATTGCTTCCCACTTCCAGTACCAGGCTCTACCTCGGTTGGTATACCAGGATTCTAATATCCTCAAGGACCTGTCAATAAGCGAGGAAAAAGTTACGGAAAGAGAAAAAACACAGCCATGTGCAGGTGTACATGGCCTCCTAAACCATTTCCGGAATATTTGATGCAATATGTCAATTATAAGAAGGGTTATTGATAACCAGATTTCAGATCAAAACTACAAACCATTCTTTCCAATTAAAAGGAGAGAACAACATGAGTTTTGTATCCATATTCTAGATGAGCATTGTTAATGAGTTTAACTAAAGGTATCGGGATACATATTGGTATCGGCTGATATCAGACAATATCGGTGAGTATATCATTCAATATTGATATCGAAAGTCCAAAATTCCAATACGTACGTATCAGTCGATATTTAAAACCTACCCAAATCCCACCTGTAATTATCGATACATGTGCACTACAGTCACACACTATGATTATGTGCTGTTTAATTGGGGAGGGGAAAAAAAAAACAGAAAAAAAAAAAGCCTGGTATAAAAACTTCACTCACTTGACTATTTGTCCCATAAATTCAATGAATTTTATTTTTTATTTTTTGTGGAACAATGTAGCTACCCTCAGACTTGACCCTTATCCTATGCATGTGCTTGAGCTTATGGTTACACCAAGCCATGACCCTTTTGTAAGCCAAAAAAATTGAAAGTTGCTAAAATGTCCTTTTTTGGGGGGGTTAAGTATTGCTAAAATCTTAACACTACATTATTCTAATACTAATATCGAGGTTCAGTTTTATCCAAATCATCTTTGATATGAGCTATTTGATTGAATCCATATTATATGAAATTGAATCCAAATGAGCAGACTGCAATTCGGTAGTCCTTCAAGCCCGAAGGCCAAAAAAATTCTCCCTTCGTCATCTTTTGTTTGTTTTCTTTTTTCCCTCCAAATACACTTCTCATAGCCCTTTCAAGGGATAGGCATTAAAATACATTGTTATTTGCGTCTATGGGAGGCTTCCCTCCAAATACTCTTCAGGGGTTTTTCACCCTTTCAATAAAGCTTATGAGTTACAAGTAGAGAGGAAAAAACAAGAAGCTTTAAGTGGAATCCTCTTGATTTTGAATGATAAGATTTTTGACTATTGTCATCCAAACTATTCACAAGAAGCAATTGTGTCTATCCAACTATTCACAATTTTCTCTCCCAACCTTGTTTATGGAGATTGTAAAGGAGTTAAGAGCTAACAGTTTGTTACTTGCGAGTTTAATTTTAATTAGGATTTTGTTAAGAGTTTTCTTAATGTAGGATTTATTAATCTTTTATTTATTTCCTTTTTCAGGAAAAGAGGAATTTAATTCTAATTAAAATTTGATGATGAGCTTTCTTAATTTAGGATTTATTAATCTTTTTATTTAATTTTCATGACAATCCTATATACATGTAAGGGCTTGGGTGTATTCGATTATCAGGGTTCAGAGTTTTTTGCATAATTGAGAATTAAAAAAAAATTCATACCTCCTCTCTCAATATATGCTGTCTCTCACTCGATCCCTTCTTCTTCTTCATCTCCTTCCCCTTCTCTCTCTCACATTTCTTTACCTTCTCTCTTTTTCTAAACGAGTACTAACTTCTAATTTTGGCATTAAATTCTCACATTTCTTTACCTTTTCTCTTTCTCACATTTTTTGCCACATCTGAAATGCATTAAATAATAAGATGTAGAAAATACTTTATTATACTCACAGGATGAAATATCGTCTGAGCATCTCAATGGCAGATGGATCTTTAGCTTGGCAATTAAAGAAATTGTCGTGATAAATGTTTACTTTTGACAGACCAAATGTGTACCAGCAGTCGTAAGTTTCATTCACCTAAGAAATACCAGCACAAATGTAAGAACATCATAAACTCATAATCATTATCAAACTTAAAAAAGAATGAATCAGGAATGGTTTGGCTATAACCATGTTACAAATCCTAAAGCATCAACACTTATTTAGATCAATACTCGAGGTTTAGCGTTTAATTAACATGGTAGTTTAAGTTTGTTCCATGCTATGAAGCACGTGTATGGGTATTGGTCTGATGGAGTAAATTTTTTAAAAAGTAGGGTATATCATATATGCTCAAAAAAATATTTTTTTTTAATGCAAAAAATTAGTTAAATGATCTAGTCAGTTAAGATCCAACCATTATATTAAAAAAACTTACACAACAAAGCTTAATTTTAAAACCATGCTAAGCATTAAAAAAAAATCCAATTAAACTAACTTTACCTTAGTACATAAGTTGAGGTACAACTTGGGTATAGGTAATTCTAGGGTACGGAAAAAATTGAGATAAAAAAATTTAGCTATGTGTTTCTTGTACCTGGTTTGTATGCAAAAGTATCATGCAAAGTACTAGTACCCGATCTGAGTACGGCATGTTTGTCAAAGTACCCATGCTTCATAGGTTCCGCATAATGTAACTACACAGTTTGCAACACCTACCTTGAACTTATTTTTGGTCAACCATGCAACACCAAAATTAGGCCTGCAATCAAGGGGAAGGGCCTCATTTGGAGCCTCTGCAAGTGCAAGCTGTGTCTGGCCCAAATGATCATTGTATTCAACCTGAAATTTGTGGGAAAAAATAATAATAATATTAAAATATAAACGATATGTAGCTAAATCCAACCAAATAACACTGATACAGTAAGAATGATTTAATTTCTTAATCCTGTTGGAATCATTTGTTAAAAAGATAAAATATGAATATGTTACTTGGCGCCACAGAAGAACAAGTATATCTTTACGTTGCATCAACAAGAAAAGTGACATATGACAACAAGAACAACTCAAAAGACATGACTTTAACATGGTTCATCAGTCATTTTAGAAAATGAGATTACAAAAAACAATGACATTACAAAAAAAAGAAAAGAAAATGAGATTACAAAAAACAATAACATAGTTTAAGAAATAGTAACAATCACCTTGAATATAGAAGCCCAATAGTAATCATAACGACATCGAAATTTCTTTCTTTCAAAGGGGTAGAAGACATGCTTTGCTTTATAATTTAACAGCCCAAGCTCACAGACCTTAGATGACCTAAGATCCACACCTGCAGGCAAAAAAAAAAAAATTTGAGATCACCCAAATCATGCTTGACAATACACAATGAACCTATAAATAGATTTTGTTTTGGAATGAACAAACAAATAAATGCACACCCAATAAAAAAGCATATGTAAAACCCATAGATCAGACTGCATGCATTAAACTAAGTCAGAGTTCAATTTATTTTTCAGTTGCTCATTGATTATAGACATTTTATCATATTACATGAAATTCTTTTTGTGTGCCCTGGAAGTTAAGGTTCTTTAAAGCAAAGAATTCTAAAGTGTTAATGAAATTAATATCACAAAACAAAACGCTAACCAAGCCTATAAATCCTAAAGTATGCTTTCTATATTATTATTCAACAATAAGAGAAGTGGGCAAGAGGGGGAGGAATACTAGTCAGAAGTACAAAGTCATGTTGCAGGGGAATACATATAATCAAAAGAGAAACAATTTCTATGAAGCATTAACATTTTCTTAAGGGCTCAAACTAAATAGAGAAGATTGTTCCTAATATGTCAGTCTTGATGTAGAAAAGCTTTCATTCGACAAGCCACTTGATATAGAGAGAGAACCCTTATAGATAATTTCAAGGATGAAAACTTTCTTGGTTTCAATCAGTAGATGTTTCTCAAATAATCCAAAAGATGATATTACTCAGCCATTAGTGAGTCTAAAACTAAAAGCAAGCTGTGACTAGAGCTTAACCGATACTTGTGATTTATGGGGTGATTGCAGGTATCCAAAGTTTATTCAAAAAGAGTGGGTCCAAGGGTCTTGGGGAGGTTCCTCATCATTGAAAAGAAGCATCTAAGAGCCTTCCAAGTTATTTCAAAAATATTTCACATCTCCAAAATGAGGAATCACAGCTTCATTAGATTGATAAATTAGTAGAATACCTCTCTTATAAATCAGATGGGTTTCTTCACAAATATGCTCCCTTCACTAATTGTGAAAATGAGGTAAAAAAAGATTTAGGAGCACATAACTAAAGCTTTCAAATCAGCAACCAAGGTAGCAAATAAAGGTTGCAAATTGAGATGGCCATAAGAGGATGCCATCACTTGATAACCAAGGTTTCACAGTAAGACCGACTCTTTCTCTCCTCTCTCTCCAAAGGATTTTTTGTAGGTGATTTTATATTTTCAGAGGGTTAAAAAGTGTTAAAAGTTCACAAATTTTTATCGAATGATAGCTATTTTCATAATAAAAAATTATGAATGTCTACAACATTTTTCATAGGCTCATTTTTGCAATTTAAGTGTAAAAACGTGTAAATGTTCTAACTTTCTGTTGAATGATTTAAAGATGTCATAGTGTTTTAGTGAGTTTATCGATTGAAAGTGAAGATTTTATACTTAACACCTTGTCTGTCACAATTTTAAGTGTGAATATTCACACAACCTAAAATTTACATTATTTTATTCATTAAAAGTATGAATATTCACACTTGCAATTTTCCACACACGTGTATGTATATACACAAATGTATTGAGGAGTCCCATTGGGCAAGTACTCCTAACTGTCATGATTGCTTTCCTAAAATATAGAGTTGGGTTTGAATAGGGACATTTGTGATTTTCTCCTAAAAAATAGGTTTCGCTACCATTTTTAGTGCTACATTTAAAATTTGGGTTTTTTTTGGTCTTTTGCATAGCTATAGGACCTTTCAGGTTTATAGAATATTTTTAAGACTTAATATGGTACGGGTTCTAGAAATAGCACTTTATGTTAAAAAGCCCCTCTCGTTAATACTTATAGACTTTATAATGTTATGTTGTGTTTCAAATTTGCAGGTTACAAATATTCAATAAATAAATGTTAATATCATTCTTATTATTTTATTAAAAACTAAAATAATATGATTCATATCTTCAAATTATACAAGTAACACAATATAAAACTTACAAATTAGAACTACGTATGAAAATTATGTTAAATATTTAATGTTGAGTGAATAAATAAAAACCAAAATTGAAAGAGGAGAAAATGAGCAAAAATTTGGTTTTCAAATGTAACAAACTCCACCACTGTTATGTAATGGCCGTAACGGTGGTGCCTGATACACCTACAAAATTCAATCACACCATTATAGTGGCTGTAACGGGTGGCAGTGACTAACCATATGGTCACGGTACAACATCATGTAATATGGTTGTGGCCCATTTTTGAAACCATGTTGATGACAAAAATCTCAACATTGTTACGGGAACAAAAAAAAATATTGACATTTTTATTTTTGGCATATCCTCGTTTTTACACAATATCCAAAAATCCTATTTCATGTTATGGGGAACGACAAAATGTCATTATTAGAAAGCAAGACGATAAAGCAAGGTATAGATACAACACCACAAAGACACCATTTATGAAAAAAAAAACTGAGACTACGAAGAAGGTGGGTCACTATTAATAGTGGAGCCAAATTGTGAAGGCCAACTTACCACTAGTGCCAAGGGCACATCATCGGGGACAAGTGACTAGCTTTGCCTAGCATAAGACCATGTTAGTGAGAACCTTTACTAGTAGTGAAGCTGAAATTCTCAGATGTCTCAAGTCGCAGAGGTAGTCAAATGTGCTCCTAAGTTAAAGGTTGTGGATTACAATGCACACCACATGCCTTTATTTTTGTTTGGAATTGTCTTCATTTGGAGGTCTCTCCTTCTAAGACCAGCTAAGCCACCGAGATAAAAGTCTCTCTAGGGAGAGTGATAAAAGCACCTTGAGGTTCTCAACTCTAGCTACAAAACCAAATGATGCCATAGATGCCACACATAGGTCCATGGTAGCACTTGGGTGCCCCATGACTGCAACACCAATTCACTCATTGCTCGTGACCTAGGCTAAGATGAGAGCATTAGGATGCCATTGAAGATTATAGACTACACAGCATACGAGGGACACACTTGAACAGAGAGCTGCTAGGGAAAACTAGAGAAGCTGCCAAGTGAAGGGAGGAAGGAGCTCTCAGATGGAGACTCATAAAACTGAATTGAGCAAGAAACCAAGAGCATCAAGGCAAGCATACCAAGGATGCTTCTTGAAGATTGTCCTTGAACGCCTTTCTAGGCTAAGGTACCTTGTACATAACCCTCAATTAGCGTGACTTTATCTTAAAAGGGAGCTACGAAGACACCACATATCACCTCATGAGACATATATAGAACCAAAGCACATGATAGGATGGTATGACATTGGTGTGGGAAGCCACATGGCATACGATAAACGGGGAAAACCCCTATAGAAAAATGGTATAGTTCTCCTCATGTTTGTTCACTACCGGCTAATTTTTCAAACTAGTACTGGCATTAGTCTACCCATTAACATTATGCTATTTTTTTGTGCATTTCCCCCAATATTTAGGCTGATATCAATATTCAACAACGTGCAAGACTAAAGCATAGTCTCTTGCATTCTCAAGGGTCGTCACAATTACCATTTTCAACCTATCTGCAACCAAAAAAAACCTACCCTAACAAATAAATTCCACCACTACATTCAAACGCAAAAAGACTTTGAACAAGTCAGAGAAAAAAACGAAAGATAACAAAATGCAAAGCATTTAAATGATTGAAATTAGGCTTAGTTAAGATTTACAGTTCTTTTCACTTTTGTCACATTTTCTCAGCAAATTTCAAAAACTTACTGCTGGAGACTATCTTGCACTGGGAGGGAACAGAGATCGGATCGGAAATTGATGAATTACCGACCAAAGCAGCGAAAACCCCTATCAAAAATGATATGACCAAGAGGGCGATGAGAGAGAAGAGAAGGGCAACAGAGCGACGCAACCAGACGTTGCGATGAGCCTTTGTCTTCTTCTCGGTGGTCTTCGGGGAATCCATGCCTGTGAGTTTGCTAGGTTTTTATATTGAAAATGTTTTTTCCGTCACCGGGAATTTTTCCGGTGATCGGAGTTTGTATGAAAAGAGATAGAAACTAGGGTTTTATATATATGGTTCACTTTTCTAATGTGCCATGTGAGGACCAGTTCAGAAGACAGAGAGATATATACATGGATTCTGTCCACGTGGTTGTTCAATCTCTCCTTTTTCGCCACAGTTTCTCCCGTGTGCGAAATCGGATTAAACGGTGCTGTCAGATGGTGGTGGATCCGATTCTAGATAACTCAAATTATTTAATAGGTAGAGTTGTTGCCGAGTACTTATTATTATAAAAAATTAGTATATTATCCGTGTTACGTATGAATTGTATTTATAATAATCTATATATACGTGAATTATGATTTTTAAATTTTTTTTTTATATTATATTAAAGTTTAATATTTTGATAATAATCATATGTGTTAAACTTTTCAATGAATTAAATGTCTTTTTTTTATTATTATATTATATTAAAATTTAATATTTTGATAATAATTATATGTGTTGGACTTTTTAAGAAATTTTTTTTATACTTATTCTTAATGCATTAAAGTGTTATTATGAGGGTAAGACTTGGGAGTTGGGAGAAGTTAATAAATGCTAAGATTTTTTTTTTTAAATCAAAAAATCAAAAAATTTAGATTGGGAGATTGGAGCTCCCACAAGACTTGGGGTTAAAAACTCCCTTTTGCTTAATATATAGTATAGATTATGTTGATTAAATATTGATAATTATTTAATTAGATTATATTTGTTTTAATTGTAATTAAAATTTTAAAAATAAATTACAAACACAAATATAAATTGATCAAGTAATTATCGATATTTGATTAATATGATTTAATTTTTTATAAAAATAATGTACTAGATGAACCCTACACAATAATTTATCGAAGTAATGTTAAGTTGGGTGGGTTAGTTTGTTAATTTGATTATGTAATTATTACGTTGGATCATCCCCATCCTTACCTGAATAATTTGTTTAGTGTTTGTTATAAGATGAATCTGTAATGATTTAGAGCTCTGAATATTGAGTTCTAAATCACCATTAGTGAGGTGGAAATGAAAAAAAATAAAAAATAAAAACACAGCACACACTGTAATAGTGAATGAGACCTACTACCACATCCTACATCCTAGTGGTCCTTCTAACTAGGAGTCTCAAGTTTTATTGAAGATGAATAGTATATAATTCTCCTTAAAATATTTCCCACTCTTAAGTACATAGGACACTTCGAAAGAGTGCTCTGAAAATGGCACTTTAAAAGAATAGAAAATTTTATGCAAACTCATTTTTTAGCTTTTTGTGTGGGGGCGATTTCTGCACTATGAAAAAGGGTTGAACTTCGTGGATGAACAGCGTGTTTTGAGAATTGAAGATCTGTACAGAATAACAAACGGTGAGGCTGCCCGACCGGGGTTAGGTCGGAAACCCCTCCGATGGTAAAGTCAGGGACTCAGGGAAAAGAAGAGAGAATATAAAGAGTGTATATATGTTAAGTGTGTGGATTTTCGAATCCCTTGAAAGTGCATAGTGTTCACCTTTTATAGGAGAAGATTGTTTGTCGTTCAAGTCCTTCTCTCTCCGCCATCTGTCCAATGTGTCTTATTCGTGGTCGTCTCCCATTGGAGGAGGACGACCACTCCTCCTGACACTCGGGTGTAGGTCTGTTTTGTTTGTCTCATTAGTGGACATCTCTCATTGGAGGAGGACGACCACTCCGCCTGTCATTCAAATGCAGGTCTGTCATATATGCACCTTGTCCCTCTGCACTTCCATGTCTCCACGTTCTGTTCATACAGAGGAAGAGGAGCAAAGTTGTTTGTCTCTTGTGGGCCCAAGAAAGATTTTCAGTAAATTGACCTTCTTTGAGTTGGCCTACTCTAGAATGGTTGTCCAACCAGGAGGTCCAACATGTTGCTCAGCCCACTTCGGAGTGGTTGTCTGTCCATCCAAGAGGTTCAACATACTACTCAACCTACTTCGGAGGAGTTGACTGCCCGTCCAGGAGGTCCACCATGTTGCTAGGCCCACTTTGGAGTGACATTCGTACATTGGGGCGAGTTCCTATGATTGTCTTGCTTCGGAGCAAGTGTTGGCCATAGGGCTGAGGTCCAACCTAGCTCAACCTCGGAGTGAACATTGCATTGGGCCTAGTACCAAGATGTAAAAATATATGTATTATTGATTGATTGTATTGATTGATTTCTTTGTGATAGTTACAAATTCCTATATATAGAAGAAAATGTGGTAGTAGGTGTAGGAGTGAAGTGGAGGTGGTAGGTGGAGTGTGTGGTAGTGGAGGTGAGTGGAGGTGGAGTGTGTGGTAGTGGAGGTGAGTGGAGGTGGAGTGTGTGGTAGTGGAGGTGAGTGGAGGTGGAGTGTGTGGTAGTGGAGGTGAGTGGAGGTGGAGTGTGTGGTAGTGGAGGTGAGTGGAGGTGGAGTGTGTGGTAGTGGAGGTGAGTGGAGGTGGAGTGTGTGGTAGTGGAGGTGAGTGGAGGTGGTAGGTGATGATATATTTTAACAGCCCCCCGCAAACTCAAGGAGGATATAGAAACTAACCAACTTGAGTTTGGAGAGAGGAGCAAAACAAGAAAATACATAAAAATAAAAAAAGATAGGAGACACTGTATGGTCGTGTCAGACCGTTGGTGAAGACACTGTATGGTGGTGCCATAACGTGGTAGAGGACACTGGATGGCGGTGTCAGACCGATGTAGAAGACAGTTTATGGGGTCATGTCGGACCGTTGTAGAAGACAGTTTATGGGGTCATGCCGGACCGTGTGTAGACAATGTTGTGACAGTTGGTTGTGACAGTTACGGATGCTTGCTGGACCGCTTGTAGAAACTAACCGAGAATCAATGTACGGGACAGTTGAACAGAGTCTTAATCGGACCCATAAGGAGCTACCGAATCAAATGTCGGCACCAGTTTACAATGAGTCTTGTCGGACCCATGAAGGAGCTAAACCGGAATCAATGTCCGGACAGTTTACAAGAATCTGTCGGACCCCATGAAGGAGCTAACCGTGAATCAATGTCGGGACAGTGTACAGAGTTCTTGTCGGACCATAAAGGAAGCTACCCACGGAATCAATGTTTGCGGGACAGTTACAGAGTCTTGTCGGACCCTTATAAAAGTCGCACCCTCAAAAGGTGTGCCCATTATCAAAAGCGTGCAATCAAAAGCGTCCACTCAAAGATGGCGCGCCCACGTTATCAAAAGAACTGTGCCCGACAGACCAGCGTCGAGGCCATCAAAAGGGGCGCCTGACATCGGCGATCACGTGAATTCTGACAAGACGCGTGTCGGCCTCGTCGTCTCTGTCTTAATAAACAATAAGCCGAAGTCTGAGGTTGGAACATAACACCAGTTTGAAACCTTCTTTCGTTCTCTGTACCATTCTGTAACACAACCCTGCTCTGAACATACTCAGCAACCCAAAATACATGGCTTCTTCTTCCCTGTTCAGCTACCCAGAACAGTGGTCTCTCTCTCCGGTTGGTACTCCGTTCTTCCAGAACTGTAATGAGTCCACAAGGAGAAATATACTGTGTGCGTGGCCAGTGATACCTCAAGCAAACACCTCTGTGTTTGCTCCGTTGAATCTTTCCCGATGGCGGTCGGGTGGATAGGCAAAATGCGTGCAGACTGATGTATTGAGGCCAATCAGTATAACTTTGAGAGGCATTGTGTGGAGAAGCATGACGGCGGGTCACAAACTTGTCGAGACCGGCTGCAGAGTGGGGGAAAGGGGGGACAATGAGGTGCAGCTGTAAAATGCCCAACTGGCTCGCTCCAACGCATGTAAGAGATTGCGCGAGCAAAGATAAGTGTGTCTGAGAAGCGGGAAGAACAAGGACCTGAACGGAAAGGCCACCTGTGATGTCGATTTGGGGAAGGGCCACCAGATGGCGGGAGTAGAGGACAGGGAGGAGGCAACTGGCTTGGTGGTCCGAGGAAGCACGGAGGCAGTACCGTCAAGGGCCGCCCAGGACGGAGTCAAGAAGAAAAGACCGGCGGAGAGTAGAGAAGAAAAAAGCCCACTGTGCAATGTGGTTTGTTTTGTGTTTTTTTTTTTTTTTTTTTTTTTTGTGAGTGTATAAATGGTGATCGGTGGTGAGGCCCGATAGCTGAATAAAATGGAGTTGGGATTCGTCTTCGTCCTCTTTTGTTTTTTTTTTTTTTTTTTTTTAAAATAAATTAAAGTAGAATAAATATAATAAAATAAAAAAAAGAAAGAATGGTGGAGCAACGGGTGAGGTGCCAAAAGGTGAATTGATAATTGTTTTGTGAGTGAGAATAAAAGAGAAAGAAAGAAAGGGGTTGTGTGGTGTGGGTGGTGGAAACAAACAAAGTGGGAGAGCGAGAAAAGGCATGAATTTGGGTTCTGATGTTTTATCCTAAAAATTTTTCAAAGGTGGAGGTCTGATTAGGGTGCAAAACCTCAATGAGAGCATACTTTAAAGCAACCAAAAGTGGATTCTTATTGTTTGGAATGCGAACTGCGGCATTAACCAACTTTCAGGATAAGCTCTATGGAAAGATAGATGGTGGATCTTGAAGCTAAATCAAAATATAACAGTAAGTGATACATGAACAATATAACACATATAGCTTTGGAGGGAACCGAGAAGAGCTTTTCCCCTGTATTTGAGAGTGGAGAATGCTAAGGGAAATGGCGACTGTTCCAGGCTTTCCCAGAGAAGCCATGAAAGCCAGTTGCTCCTTGTGGTTTGGAGGTGTGGAACGAGATGGGGGGAGAGTACGCCTCTTAAAGGGCGAAGAGAGTCTGCGGGACGAAATATGCGTGCGCATTGCCGAGTCCGACATCTGAGGGAACCAGCCAACCGACGAAGGGACTAGGAAGACTGAGAGTTGGTGACTTGGAAGTGGACCGTCCCTGGCGAAATGAAGGCCCCAATGCTAGTGGAGGTTTTGTACCTAAATGAAACATGGGCTGTAATGATGCAGGCTGAGGTTGGATCCAGAGTGTGGAAACCAAGGGTTTCTTGCCCATATTTGTTGAATGAATCGGTGAGAGAAAAGCCGGCATTGGAAGTGGTCCGGTGTGGTGGCAGTGGGGGTTGTATGTGGTAGATGCAGTATGCCAACTAGTCTGTATTGGTTGCTGGCCATTGATAAAAGACCAGCGCCATCATGCTTTAGCTTGGATGATGGTTTCCATCTGGACACTGAGAGATGACAGCTTCCGCTAAAC